TGTGTCGAGATTTGTTCTTCTTCACTCCTGTGCCTTACTCTTTATGGAAATATTAAAAACCGCCAATATTAATATCTCTCTCAGCAAAATTTAAAAAAAAATTGTGATTTTTTTAAAAAAAATCTCAAGTCTTAAAAAATTTAAGAAAAGAAGATATTGTATTTTACAGGTTTAACTTTTAGAAGGGAGCTATTCGTTTTTGTACTCGGAGCAAGGACTAAAAAACTCGATTTTTTTAAATATTTGTCTTGTTTATAAACGCATAGAATACAAATAATCGTATAATAATTCAATCTGGTAACGTCGCATGGGTGTGAGATGTGACGGTGATCGCATTTTGATAATTGTAAATGAACATAAATTGATTGACTGGGTGCGGATCGAATATGAAATTACGACTCAGGAAGTCGGAGACTGCAACCCGCATTATTTTGTCGCGCCTTGCATTGATGCATTTCGACCAATGTTATTTTAATTACAAGCGGATCTCATCCGGAACAAGTCATTGCCTTGCCGTGAACTTCTAATGAAATTGATAAGAAATGACAATAATTGAATAGCTTGGAGGACGAGGCGCATAATTGCAGTTTTTGAAAAAAAATTGAGTATTAATGATTTCAAGTAAAACTCGTCTTCATTCGAAAAAATCACTACAAATTCCAATTTTTAAGCATCTAAAAGTCAGTGTGACTTATCTTACCGCCTTAAAGATCCATGTAATTTCGAAACTTCAAACACGTATCTCTCGAAATCGCGAACTCTGCACTTATGCGTTTTTACCTCCAAGTCCCTAAATGAAGGTATATCTGCAACAGCAGATTTAACTAAGATTGATATTAATTAAAACTTCTTATTTTTCTATTCCTCTCATTTTTATCTTGTGACTTAGTTTTGAAATTTTGAACGATGTGCAGGACCAATGTGTAGCCTTTTATAATCTACGTACCCGAGGTGCAGTTAGAGGATCTCCAAATTAGACATCAAAGTTCTCAATAATATTAGGCCTTCCGGTTCGCAAAAAATTACCTGATTTTTTTCGCATGATCTCACAATAAAAAGCACACATCACAACGCCCCAACCTACGGCGGTCACATGCGCGTACGGAGGTGAATGTATCTGACGAAACGGAGGTTCCAGATTTGCAAAGAATGAGAACTTGCTCATGTAACGAATAAGATAATTCATTAATTGGCACTTTCACTCCTTGTCTATATTTTTAACGAGGGAAATGAATTTGAATCAATTTGAGCTGAGCACATAAAACACGTATTGCCTCTGGATGCAGTATCTTAGAAAAAAAAGAAAAAACTGAGGCAAAATGCCTCCAAAATATCCTATTTGTACTTTTCCGATGAGAGCATTTGTAGCAGATTTATTTGCACCTACTTCGTCGCATGGATCTCTTCCTTTGACCATGAGATAGCTCTTTGAGCTGTAGTATCTGGCCTTGTCTTTACGAGACGTTTGTTTTCATGGTAGTTGACCCTTAGTCGAATCTTGAAAATAAAACTCCGGGGAAATTCCATGTTGTTCGTCCCCAAGAAATGAGACTCTTACGTTCTTACGACAAAGCGTGGAAAGATAAATTAGTAAAAACCGAGTATTTTTTCGGCATTGAGGTGATAATAGGACTTAATAAACAATTAAACAACTTATTTAAATTAACCGAACACGAAAAATAGTGTAAACAAGTAAAAATTCTTTTTCCTCTCTCAGCTTAGGAGATACCTTTGTAGTATAAACGAAGATTTGAAAGCTCTCTGCCATTTTTTATCCTCGCAGTTATCCCGCCGTTGGCGGCGGACTACGGGTGAAGTGGTGAGTGCCTGGACAGTCAAAACGCCTTCAATTTCGTACGTATGCAACACGGGCATCCATAGAGCCCGAATAGTTGCATCCAGGAGTTAGAATAACATTTGTATAGTGCTCGTCGCACTCGATAATGGTTAAATGCGTCATTTCTAGCGTTGCCTATGCGTGCCGATGAATGCCGATTTTTATCGCAACATTATTGTCAATTTTTTGATTAATGATTTGATTTTTTAAATTTATAACAACGTTGTCTATCTAAAATTGGCATGCGCCCCTTCCTTCTGTAATCTAAGAACACCGAGTGAGGTAAAGTCGTTCCATGGTCACTTCAGGAATTTAAGCGAGCATCTCAGCATATTTGAACTGTTGATACTTGACGTTGATGCTTCAGTAATATGGATGAATGCTATATGAGCCTTCAGAAGTTGCCAAATATCCTTGCGTAAAGTACAAACTTTGAGGTGAACGATTCCATACAGTAAAGCACCGATTATCCGTGCTTCGGTCATCCGGTACGGCTTTTTCACCGTTTAAACGGGGCATTTCCAGTCATGACAAGACGCAAATCGGTGTCTTGGGCGTAAATTGAAAATATGAGTGTTTTTTATAATTTATGTTGCAATTTATCAAATGGCTAAGTTTCACAAGTATAATAGTGAATTGGCCAAAGTCCTGGTAACAAACAGCTTGAAATGACATTTTTTCAGTCTTTTTTTTTTTTGGTGGTCTCGATTAGCCGTTATTTTGTTAGCCGGCGCGGACGTCCGCCACATTGTACCGGATAATCGGTTCTTTACAGTATTACCGTTCCAAATTTTCAGAATTTTTTTATTTTATAAAAATTTTTATTTACCTTAAAAAGTATGACTTTCTTAAAGGATATTAGGATGTTCTCCAGATTAATTTTAACTGAAGTACAAAATACTAGAATAGTCCCAACTTTAAGGTTCATAGATTCTCTGCCCCATAAAAATATTTATAGGTTTTAAGCAAGCATTGTTTCGGCCCTTTATTTGAGACGAGTTAACGAGTGTCCCAATCGCCGCCCATAGCCTCTTTAAATAGCGAGTAATATCCCGCAGAGAGAATTTGAATAATCATCGTAACAAACAATAAAATCAGCCGTGGTTGTCAGCGCGCAAAAAAAAAATGAGCCGATGATCATTTGCATGAGTTAATACCCATGTTCGGCGCGTCAGCCGTTACCTCCCGCATCAGCAACGGCCGCGCGTGCGACTTCCGTGAACTTTATTGGCGATTGTTGCGTTTTCGGGAGAGGTCTCCAACATGCACGCCATAGGATTTACGAGCTGCTACGATTGTTGTTGCGGCGAACGAGAATCATGTTTCTTTGGGGGCTTTACGTGATTATGATATTGATAAGTTAAGTCTGCATTCGTTGATTCAATCATCGCTCAAAACTGTGTGAACCAGTCTCGATTGAAGGAACCTCGTGTCTTGTTGACAAATCGTCACCATTCGGCCAAATTATCACAAGCGCCATGCGACGTTTAAAAATTCCCGCCGCCATTTTATATTTTTAGAGAGGAGTTTTTCGACGAAGCTATTCGAAAATTTCACTTGTTTTGTTTTTGTGCTGCCGATAAGATTCAGTTAAATTTTCAAACAGATTCAACCAAAAATTTCTCTGTAAAAAAATAAAATGGTGGCAGAAATTTTGAAACGTCGCATGCCTCCTGTGATACTCTGACTTGAAGGTGACGAAATGTGGCGGAAATACGTCCAATTGGGACCGAGTTTAACAGGTACGCAGCAAGTTTGAACCAAGAAAAAGAAGCTTGAAGTTGCACCCCTCCATAAGAGCCAATGTTGGGGGGCAAGCTTTAACGAGTACTATCTCGATTTGAATTCTTTGACAGGAAAACATTTACGACTAGTTGCATTCAAAATCACTCATAACTTTATTCATCTTCAAAATGCGACTTGATGTGATTTGTCAAACTCGATCCATTTCATCCCTGATTTTACTTATGCCCAAAAATGTATAGAAAGGTTTTTAGATAGTTTTTGCGATATTGGTATAAAAATCAGAAAAAAAACTGCAGGAAATGAGGAAGAATAACACAAAAAGTAAGTTCCTTTTTCCAAAAAATAGAAGATAGATCAAATCGACAATAAAGAAATACATAAGATGTACTTGTAAAATTTAGTTGAATATTTTGAAAATTGATTGGCGGGGACGAGAGAAAAATCAACCACACTTAAGCCGCGATATCCTTAAATGAGAGAAACAACTTTCATATTTTTTTTTCTTTTTCTGTTGCTTTAATGGCTTTTATCCAAGTGGGGCCTGCAGTCCATAACCATCAATTCGTCTGTTGTTAATTTGTGGTCCTGAGCCAAAATCCACAGAATCACTAGGAACACTAAAAAATGAAAGGATAAAAATGTGTATTTCATACGGTCAATATATTTCGAAAAAAAGAAAACAAAGTATTTTCAAGTCGAAAGTATACTTTTTTCAGGATCTAACGTTTCTTTGTACATCTCCAAGTGCATCATCTATCTTCTATAATAAAAAAAAGTATTTTCTTAACAAGCAGAGGAAGGCAGTTAAATTTTTTGCTTCCTTAAGGATCAAGTCAAGAAATTGCTGTTTAGGACAAATCTAACATCCTATACATTAAGAAAAAAGGAGCCCCTCACCTGTAAATATAAAATAGTGTGTTAAAAACAATTAAAACTGAAAGGGGGGTTCTGGTAAAAGTGCACGCTTGGTTCAGTATGCTTCAAGTTGAAAAGATCGAAGCGCATGGCTGCTCGGTCGAACATCTTTAAAAAACGACCATGGGTAATGCGTTGCGATCCGCTGGACCACGAACATTACGAGGATGACTGGATAAACATGGACATGCGTGTGGTGATGCGGGAAAAAGACCAGAAGCCGGCCGCCGCGTTCATGTCACGCATGGGCGACAGAATGCGCTCGGGTCGCCCGAAAAGCTCCGAACCGGTTGCCGTGGACAATCCCACCGCCACCGGCCGGCCCCCATGCGGGCCATCGGCCTAAGGAGACGCATCCCAGTTACACAATTGCCAATTTTTGTGGCCCAGCGAAAGTGAGAGTGAGAGGGGGCAAAAAGAAAGGGAAAGAGATGGAGCGATGAGGCACAAGTGCATCTTACGCTCGTATAAAAGAACTTTGGACTCATCTGCTGGTCATCAGTTGTTTGTTTGGCAGCCGTTGAATAGTGTCGGGTCCAGCATGAAGGTTTTACAGGTATGAGCATCTTTAATAAATAAAACCGTTCAATATAATTGTGTTGTCAAATATATCGGAATCAGCGGAATAAAACCAACCAATCTTGGATGTTGTCAAATTTTTTTCCCGGATTGATTGGGAAACCGGGCGCTTTTACTATTTTATTTATTCGAAAAGCATTTTGAACAAAATACGCAGTGGATGGACTCAACCTTTTTTTTAGTGTCACATTTACTGCCTCTTAAAGAGATAACGGTGGAAATTTCAACAAGTAAAATTTGGTCTTGTTCAATGAAATTAAATGAATATCATGAACATGAATCATCCTATGAAATGAAGTAGAAAATCAGCTGGGAAAATAAATGATAAAACTAATAAAATATGAGTCTCTCTTTTTAAATTTAAAAAAAAAAAAAAAAAAACAATGAGTTCAACTTGTGCTGCAGGGATCGAAGAGAACCGCAAACAAGGAAAATATATTTGAAAAAATAATAATAAAAAATAAATAAATCAATAAATAATATACATTTTTCAAAATGGCTCAAAACAAAACTATCGAAATACTTTTTATTCATACTTGTATCGACTGCATTTGTGTCACAGCTAGAGGGTAAAGTCAAAAGTGCTTAAGAAAGGTGGTAAGCCAACCCTCCCTTACAAGTGTGTTTTTACATTTGTGAGTAAATAAAAATAACGGGTTGAAATCTATCCATAAAAAACTGATAAAATATCAAATTGTATACTTTATTCAACCCGTGAGAATGTAAGTTCAATTTAGAAACCATAATACATTTTGGGCTCATTTTTGAATGGATAAATTTGAGATAAAATAGCTCCGAAACAAATTTTTGAGCAATGAATTTTATATGCCGCGGAAATTAATATACCTTTGCTTGTATTTTGTTTTTTCTTCTTTCTTTGTTTTGACATTTATAGTGGTTAGCCCCCTAGCACATAATAGTGTTGCTTTAAAATCGATGAGGCTTTGAAAGTTTTCCTTGGCGATGCAATCTTTCGAATTTTTCAAGTTCTATTTTAATAATTACGATAATCCAAAATCCAGTGTTTTTTCGTATATTTAAACCGTGAATTATTTTCAAAGTTTAGTTGATCAATTAAAAATAAAAAAAATTTGACGATCTAAAATTTTATTCCGCAATTTTCTGCTCAAAGTAGTATTTCATTAATCCACAATACGCATGCAGAAACTACAATGTTTAAGGAAAAAATATTTTGTTACCAAAAAGTAGCAATTTAATTTTTTTCATATTTTCCACGTGTGAAATGCAAATACGGTAAAAAGTTGACCACTAATATAGTGTGCTCACATGTGACGTGCAGGGATTACATTTTGTGGAGGGATATCTCAGCATTATTCTAAGAAACTTTATTTTAACATACGGCTCTCTTGGTGACTTTAACGATAGGTTAAGAAAATAAGAAAAGAAAATGCACTGAAAAATAGAATTAGTAATTTATATACATTTTTTCTATTCTTTTCATTCTATTTACACTGTGCTCCTTGTCATTCCCTCAAATGAAATTTTTAAAAGCCCCTCGTCTTTCATTGCATGAACGGATGATATCATGTCAACTGCAGGGTCAATCTCTCTCTCTCAAGATGTGCGAATTATTTTCCGCCCTCAATCATCAGAAAACTCATGATATTTTACTTCCTTAAAAGCATTATATTGGAATATGTTCAAAATAATCAAAACCCTCTTTACAGAAGGTCAGTACTAAATTTTGAATACTTTCCCTACTTCCTACGATTGTTCTTAAATTTAAATTAACCATCGCAATCCTGGTTCCCGTGGTTTTAGAGATCACCCCCACGAGAGCGAAGGATAACTCTCTGGTCGGATTTTTGTGGACCTAGCATTTTGACTTCCTGTGCCAACTCAATTTCACAAATTTCTATGTAGAAATATTGGAAAAATCTTTGCCACACTAAAATAACCCCCTTTTTTGACAGGTATGCGCAGTCCTTGCGCTGACAGTGGCAGTCGCCTACGCTGACAGCAAAGAAAAATCCAAAACCGACAAGTCCAAGGACAAGAGAGGCCTAACTCACGGTCTTAGTTCCGGCGGCTACAGCGGCGGCTACTCATCTGGGCTCGGCGGAGGCTCTTACGGAGGATACGGAGGCAGCGGCTACGGCAGTAGCTCTTACGGAAGTGGCTCCTCTTACGGAGGTGGCTCATACGGAGGTGGCTCATATGGAGGTAGCTCTTACGGCAGTGGCTCTTACGGGGGTGGCTCTTACGGAGGCAGTCTCGGCAGCAGCTACGGATCCTCCAGCCTTGGCTCTTACGGAGGCGACAGCGGTTACGGCGGAAGTTATGGCGGTAGCTCTCTTGGCGCTAGCTATGGTGGTGCCGACTATTCCGGATCATACGGTTCCGGTGCTGGAATTGGATCAGGAATCTCAGGAGGTTACGGATCTGGCTTCTCATCTGGCTCTGGCTTCTCCTCTGGCGCCGGTTTCTCGTCCAGCAGCTCTGTCGTCTCAGGTGTATCTTCCGGCCCTGTGTCCCTCCCCCAACAACCAGTCCAGGTCACTCACTCTGAGTCCCAGTCCACCGTCCATATCCCAGTGCCCAAGCCATACCAAGTAACGGTCACCAAGAAGGTCCCAGTGCCGGTTCCTCACCCCGTCCAGGTCTCCGTCCCTCAACCCGTCACCGTTCCCATCCCTCAGCCCTACCCCGTCGCCGTCCCCAAGCCATACCCTGTTACTGTTAACAAGCCATACACCGTCTCCGTACCCCACCCCGTGCCCGTAGCCGTCCCTCACCCCGTCCCAGTCTCCGTCCCTCACCCAGTCCCTGTCGTCGTCACTCACCAAGTTCCTGTTGCCGTCCCCCACCCAGTCCCTGTCGTTAAGCACGTCCCTGTCTACAGCCACGGCTCCGTCGGCGGTGGATACTACGGCGGCGTCTCTTCTGGAGTCGGATCCTATGACTCGTCTGCTTCTTTGGGCAGCTATGGAGGTTACGGAAGCTACGGAGGATCGTCCCTTGGCAGTTACGGAGGAGCCTCTCTCGGCAGCTACGGAGGATCTTCTCTTGGCAGCTACGGAGGATCATCTCTCGGCAGCTACGGAGGATCATCTCTCGGCAGCTACGGAGGATCTTCTCTTGGCAGCTACGGAGGTAAGTTTTGCTTCTTTGAACAATAAAGTAGGGACAGTAGTTTTACCTGCATGGGCTGTCGTGAATTAATATTATAATTTATTAAATCCAATGGGTATTTTAATTAAAAAAGAATGGAGGTCATTTTAAATTAGTGTTAAACTTTTCAGTGCAGTCCCTCTTTTTTCACCTAATTTTTGAAAATAGATATTTATTTTTGAGTTTTTCCAATATTTTTTACAGGATAGTTGGAACAGAGTTAATAATATACTCCGCAACCTTTTTAAATATATCGAAAATAAATTCATCTTGATTTTAAAACCGAAAGATACATATGTGTGACATCGCACCCCAGAGTAACTACTTAAATGTGTGCCTCTACTAAATGAGGTTAGCTTGATAATGGTTTGTTTTAATAGATTTTTAAGCAAGAAAATTCTCTTTTTCTTAATAGGTAGCTACGGTGGCTCTTCATTAGGCAGCTACGGTGGATCTTCCTTGGGCAGCTACGGTGGTTCCTCATTGGGTAGCTACGGTGGCTCTTCTCTGGGCAGCTACGGTGGTTCTTCTCTGGGCAGCTACGGTGGTTCCTCATTGGGTGGCTCTTACGGAGGCTCCTACGGAGGCTACGAGTCTGCTCCATCTTACTCATCTGGTAGCAGCTACGACTCTCACGGCTCCTACGAGTCATCCTCTTACCCAAGTTCCTCATACGGCGGCTCATCCTACGGTGGCTCATCCTACGGTAGCTCCAGCTCTCCCAGCTCCAGCTACGGACCCCCCAACTACACCCCTGGTGCACCCATCGGATCCTCCCATGGCTCTGACAAATATAAGCGAGCTAACCCAAAGCAGTAATATGACACGTAAGTTCACTTTTAAATCAAATCCATAACTATAATTTTAGGTCTCTCATCAATTTTTCTCCCCTATTTTTCAGAGTATTGAAAGTTAAAATTCTGGCCGAATAGAAAAAATCGCGAATCTTTTATTACGGTCGTTTCTTCAAATAATTGAACGCTTTCATGCTAAAAAGAAAATGCAAGAACGAACTAAATTAAAAGGACACTCGCGCTTCATGGTTCATTTGCTTTATTCATTTGTACGACATGGTTCCTTTTTGCATAACCAGGTCCAATTGAACGCACCAAGACGACTATGACGTTATGATAGAAGCCTCTTACTGACGTATTTCTGCCAAACAGAGCTATGTGCATTAAGACTTGAGCCCTAATACCCAAAAGAGTATGTGCATAACAGGGCTCACGTCATAATGCACTTTGTTCCGTTTGATAGAAATACGTCCAGTTAATAGTATAACACGCGATTTTTTGAAAGAGAGTGAAAGTCGGAACCTCGATTTTTTAATTTTTTGTCTGAGTCTCTCTCGGTTCTAAAACGGCCAAACTCGGGGTTTTTACGCTGTTATTTTTTTTTTTTTTTTTTTTTTTTGCGTAGAAACGCTCTTTTCTGGAAGTTATGCAGTTTTTGTTTTCGCCTGAAAAATGTCTTTTTTCCGAAATGGGTCATTTGCGAGCTGAGAAGTTCAATTCTTTTCATTATGCATGTTATACTTGAAATTCAATTTTTCACGATGCAAAAACATCTATGATATCCACTCATTTAGGATTCATTCTATTTTTCTGATGAGAGCTAAACAAATTCAATACACTCTAAAGGAAGGGGTTACCCTAAGCAAAAAAAATTAACAAATTCCATCTATTATAAAAGCGCGGAGAGGATGAGTTGGCCAACTTCTGAGTGAAGTCTGGAATCCCGGTCAGATTAACTTGCTTCACGGCCTTAAATCAGCATGACGAGTGGGGCGTTAAACAAATTAAAGTATCAGTGTTACCAGGTGATCAACGGCAAATGTCACATATCCTTTACTTCTCATTTGGGCAACTAACTGCTGCAATCGGGTCCCCCTCCACCGCTCCGGCCGTCGGGGGCCAGTTTCGGCGGACCCCGTTATCTTTTTATGGGCGCGCCTCAGTGAAGATGTCATCGGATCCCCCCCAAATTTCGTAACGAGCTGCCCGATTGCCCACGCAACAATCGAGATCCCGAAATCGGCCGTTTGTTCTGACGGCTGACTCTCCGTTTACCGTCCCCGCGTAAAAGTGATGTATCCGACACATTCCGGCTGAAAGGTCACGTGATGGGTGATGTAATTGTGCCCGGAAGTGAAACCGTTCTCAGGAAACGACCGCGCTCTGATGAATATCATCCGATCGACCTTTTTGTCTACAAATATTCGTATTCCTAGCGTGTTAACGGGCTCGACGCAGGCAGGCTGACCCAATGGGCGATTCTGATTCTTTTAAGAACTTTAGTTTTGATGCTAGAATAATCCGAGTGTTTGACAACGTAGCTTTTTTTGTTGCGTGTCTACAGAACTGCAAGCTTCGTTGGAGGGTTTGAAGAAATAATAATAAAAAAAAGAAATGAAAGAAAATAAAGTGTTTAAAAATCTGACTAAAATGTTGAAATGATTCTTATGGCGCTGTTGATAAAAGTATATTGCAAAAGTATCAAGGAGCAGAAGGGCACCTTATGAAGGGACAGAGCGATAGCTTTTAAAAATGTCTAGATTATAAATTTACAAACTTAACAACAAATATTTATTTGGAATTTAAGAATTACAATATTTTAAAACAATTGTGTCTTCTTTCTGTTGCAGGTGATTGAGAAATTACTTGTATATTATTATTCTGACTGATATTCAGTTACCAATGCACGGCTGTAGTGGCCCAAAAGCGGCTTTTGTCCTCAGACAACTTAAGTTCTCCTCACTGGTCGGACAGCGAGACCGAAGCTGTTCTAATACAAACCTCGCCTGAAAAACACCATCAGTAAATTAGTTTGTACTCGTTTGTTGCTGATTCAGTTCGACGGTGCGGAGTAACCGGTCAAAAATCTGATTTTCCAGTTATTTTGGAAAATTTCAAGTCATTGCAAGTCATTATTGTTTAAGTCATTCAAGTTAGAAGTTATTTTTAACTTATTTTGTTAAAAATGCGTTTAATAAATTCTAGGTAGTTTACATGTTCGTAAAACTGACTTTTTATATTTTTTCAGTCCCAACCTCGAAATTTTGCCAATGAACCTTTAGTTAGCTTTCAAAATAATTATCAAGTAATGCAGTTAAACGATTTCAAGTAAACCTCTCAACATTATTTTTTAATTTTCCTATGAAAGTTCACTGAAAATTTCAAGAAAAATTATTAACTTTCTTTCAAAAAAATTAAAATATCATAGGAAACATTGCAACGTTGCATTATTCACATTATTTTTTTCATTCATTTATTTATTTTTTCTATTTGATTTTCTCACTAAAGCAGCTAATCAAGCTTCAAGCTAATAAAGGAACTTATACCTAATAAGAAAAGTTAAGTTTTAAGTTTGAGCTCTCACTTTTTAATCCTGGCTTGACTTCTTCAGTAGTTAATGCTTTGTTATCAAAAGAGACTGCACGCATTAAGTTCCAACTTTTGTAAATTCGCAATGAGTCTCAAACCCAGCAGGTAATGTTGAGGCTTTGGCTCTACTTTGAACAGCCGGGTTATAGGGTGGGTTGGTCTCTCCCAAAAATGGTGGGTAGTATGGAGGTGCCCTTGGCATTGGTCTTCCTGTTCTGAGCTTCTCTTTCTTGTAAAAACTGAACACTACCCAGATAAAATACGCTAAGAAGACTGGAATCAAATAAAAATTATTTACTAATATAAAGATTAAATCATAAAATATAGTTATTTTTGCTTTATTTACATTATCGTATCGAATGACAATTCATTCTCTCTGTATCCAAAGCAAAGAAGTAAATATGGAGTAAAATAATTACAGAACTTTCGACGAATAATTTGTGAAAAGGAACATTTGAGTTGTGTAACATTTGAAACGTACGGAGTAGAATTTGAATCATTTAAAATGTCTCACACTTGTTCCTCTCTTTTGCCTACTCAATCGTTTTGTGCAAATATTCTTAACTCTGTAGGTGAATTAAAAATCAAAAAATTTAAAATGAAGTTGCGTGATTTTACTGTAATATGACGCTGAAATCAGAAATTAAACGTGATCGGCTGACATTTCTCTCGTTCTCTTTAAAAAAAGACAAAAAGGAGGGCCTAGGTTTGCCTAGGCAGACCTAGGTCTGCCTGAAAAACGGGGTTTGCCGGCAACAACTATAACAAAACCTTCTACAAATCGTAGGAACTATCAAATCTGGAATGCTTCTCGTAGCTGGTATCATGCTCTCTTCTCTACAGCGTAACTTGACAAATAGGTGATTAATTAATGCGCTTTCAGGATGATTTCGTAATAGTTGGACAACTTTATTTCCTTTTCTATCTTGTTTCTGTAAGTAGAGAAACAAATCCTCTTTCACTTACCACCATGTGAAACTGCATTGATGGCATCAGCTATGAAATACTCCGGATATTGACCTAAAACACCCATGATGGCGAGATTTGTGCAAGAGACTCCCGTCTCTGTTATACACGCTTGACTGAACATAATGAGCCATGGTAGAAAATAATCTGGTCGCCCCTGTACAATTTTAAATCAGTAAACATTAAGCTTCTTTTTTTATTCATACGTTGCATTTAAATGTCAACTTTTCTAAAATTCTTACCTTGAATCATTTTTTAAAAGCCAACCCATCCTAAAAATAATGAAAGTTTCATGAGGCCATCCAATAGACAGTTAAAAAAGTTATACTCGTGAATGGTAAGACACGAAAAAAAACATGTCTTATACGAGAACGATTGCTGATATTTTATCATTTATTAGTGACATTTTGTTCTTTAGAGAAAATTGAAGGTCACCAATATCTAGGCGTTACAATTATATACATATAAAAAAAAAAAATCTGAGAGTTACTCATGAAAGTGTCAAGTCTCTGTAACTTCAATGAGGCTGAGAATTGTAAACATCGCATATCAAAATAAATGAAGCGATTCGTTAAATTTATTAGAGCAATAATTTAAATTCCAGTGCCTGCCTAAATTTTCTGAGAGTGTTGAGGTGGAAACTTTCAGGTTGGCACTCGTTCCTTAAAAACGAAATCAAAACATAAAGCTGGTGAAGATCACCCAGTTTTGGTTCTAAGTCATTTTCATACAAACAAGGGTGTAAAACATGAGTTGACATGTAAAACATGTAACATGTAAAACATACCTTATCCAAGGCAAAAATTCCGAGAGCGCAGGCTATGATTTGGAAGAAAGCCGTGATACCCGTCATGATAACATACCGTTGAATATATGTTCCTTTCGTGAAGAACAGTAGCTGATCAATTCCTGTTTGAGATCAAAGGACATTTATGTGAATGGGCAGATTGCTGCAGCTCTTCATGTACGAAATAAGCACTGAAGTAATTAAATTTTAGCACTCTACGTCTGGTCTCGATAACTTCACTATGGTGTGAGTAAAATTTTGATAAATTATCATCGTTTATTTAGTTAAATTTAAACTAGCTGTGAGGAATTTCTATCAAATAAAAAACGGGTAGCTTGTTCAAAGTTTTGTATGTGTGGCATCTTTTTCATCAATTTTGTTCAGAAGCATTTGCACCCAAATAGAATAGTTGAAAACTTTTAGAGCAGTCTATTGGAAAATCTTTCCACGTTGAAAATGCTTACATCTACTTAAGGTAAAAAGTCTAGAGGCCAATTTGAAATTTTGGACGGATCATAGCTATCAAAATCCGCTTTTAGTTTCCATCGTTTGAAATTTGACACTGGTGCTTTCAAACCAAATTCAGTAGAAAGTAACACCTTTTTGGCAAATAGAGGTCTGTTCGTTAGTTGCGAGAATAAAAATTCCATTTAAGTGATTCTTATGCAGTTAGTTTCTCTCTCTGAACTGATTAGAAGACTCGTCTTGCATTCAGGAGGAAGGGAACTAAATTAATGAAAATTCAAAAGAAATTAGCATTACATTTTATTCTCTCGGCCGTAAATAAAAAACAAAAACAAAAGGTCGTAAGTTGACTAAGATTAAGTATTAATTTTTTTCTCAACAAAAAATAAATAAAAAGTTTACGTCAAGCAGACCCATTGAATTCCAAAAAACTTGGTTTCTCTCTGCTTAACTGATCTATTTTTACGCAGAGGGAAGGGACCGCCATTTCTCATGCAGGGAGATGTCTGAAGTTTAAAATAAGGTTCTAAAAATGACGTTTTTGGGGAGAAATTTTCGAGAGGGGGGGGTTAGACTTCCGAGCCCTCTGTGGCACAAGCCTTCGACCTGGTAACTGGAACTAGAATGATTTTCTTTTGTATCATACGACGCAACCGATCTTTGGCAACACTAGCCTTGATGCCACGTTTCATATATTCACCTCACCATCGCGCTCCTTTTCCAACCTCTTTGTCCGACGCAGATGTGTCCCACCGACGTCGAGGCGTCTCCGTCGAGCGTCGACGTCGCGTCGGCGTCGCGGCGCGCGGGAAACTGCTGATTGATGTAAGAGGGAAAACTCACCGTGGCCGATTTCGTAATAGAAGGAGCTGTTGGAGGGACGCGGGTAATTCGTGACGACTTGATTCGCCTCGCTTCGCAGCAAAGACGTGGCCAGGTATATCGTCGTGAAGACCAGTAGCAACCTCGTCAGCTGAAACAATCGAGCACACGAAAAATTACACGGGCAAGTTACAGGCCCATTGAAATTCAATCTCAGCAAAATCGATGAGTAATAAAATATGAGGTCGAGTATACAGTGGTGTTACTTGACTGAACACTTAAAGGAAGAAGCGTAGCAAAAGTTTAAAAATTACCCACAAACATTGAACCACACAGTATGGTAATATATAAAAAGAGCATTGCTCATTCTCAAACTTCTTGAAGGAAGCAGTGCTTCTCTAATAGCATATTCACAGAAAATGCCACTAGTCGAGTAAACTTTGATAATACAGAATGAGAAACAACTTAATCAGCCAAAATACACATAATAAAAGAACAACTTAATTTGGGGAGAAGGCTGCAAATAAAGAAAAAGGAAAAAACAAAACCCGGATAATACACTGCAAAGTCATTCAAATTCTGTATGAAGGGACCGGCATCAAATATATCTAAAAATGTATGTATTATTTATTTTTTTCCCCTTTTATTTTAAGCAGTGCCATGTAGGAACAAAGGTAAAACATACACGTCAATTTATAAGAATTCGACTTTCTGGACGCCTTTCATCTGCTTTTGTTCAGTCTTGATAGATTTCTTGGCACGGTACTCCTTGGCGTTGAATTTTTCCGCCTTCATTTCGATGAGTAGGCAGAAAAACTCTCAGGCACCTCATTAAAGTCACATCCACGAAAACCAAACTATATCTTTCCGTATTGTTCTTTTGAGAGTTTCGATGGTTGTATAGCTTTGCAATCTCATATGACACACTAGAAAGGGTCACATTATGAGATTACAACGGTTGGTTTTTATAGCTTTTACTTTTAACAACGGAACACTCTTCTCCAAAATACTCCAAGTGCATACATTGGATGAGTGGTGGTGTGAAATTAAATTACTCACACGTATCAGTTAGGAGGAGATATGCTAAAGAAAATGATTAGTTACAACTTACGCACGTTATCCATATGACAATTTGAGTACCAGTGCGCAATGGTATGCAGCATAAAAAATTCTTCAGTAGATATACCATATTACTAAGGCACACAATAGATACATTCGACTGAAAATTAGCCAAAAAACTTCAATTAGTTTTGATAGTGTTTCAATATACTAGTAGCAATCATCACAGTAGATTTGAAAAGAAACATACAGAACATTTTACATTGAGACAATAGGGATGTTTGGGGATTGGGGACTCATTTTTGTGCTGAGAAACAGAGTTGAAAAGTTCAGCTTCCCAGGTGCCGGTACATAAAAACAAAGAAGAAGAGTTGTAAATTTTTACCATAAAAACATTACGCATGGTCCGAGATTCTGAAACGCTTCAATTGAGGTACATATTTTTCCAGAAACTATGATAAATGGAAAGAAAAAATCAAGTCGATAATTACGACGCATAGTCGTAGTTTAGCGGAGGCGCTAGCTACTAGCACCGCGCCAACTCGCCCTGCATGGTCGTGTCAGCGTCGCAGTGTGACGCGCCTTCAATTTCACTCAGCTGCAATATGGGCAACACCCATGGTCGAATAGTTATCTCACAAACGCCTTCCCTAAATGGTGTCCAATATCGGGGCTACACGCAAAGAAGCCAATTTATCTCCGGTTGAAACGTTGCATACCTCCACTCGTGTTGTATTTTTATTTACTTTTTTAAAATTAAGATACCATATTTCTTATGAGAATTTTTTGCGGCTTTTCCCAATTCATTTCAAATATATTTACAAAAAGTTCAGACAGGAGAATTGTCAGGAGAAGCAATTTTCGATCATAGTAATAGTTATTAAATGATAAAAATTGACAACTCGAGATTTTTAGAAGAAAACCGCCTGCGTGAGTTCTAAAAATGGTCCAATCGGTTTGAATCCTTAAAGGAATTGTTTAAAGTAGCGGCTGCTATTGGAAACTGCAGTGATGAGCTTTTCCAACATTTTTTAGGATATAAATAAGGCGTATATTAGTGAGGCATTGAGGCAACCTATTCAGGAGGATTTTTGGATGAAGTGATGAACTGATTACTACATTGATTATATTACTCTTAGCAGAAAATCGCAAATCCGCAACTAGAGGACTGTGGTGGGTAAATCTGGGTGAAAAAATTTGGTGAAACCAGCTAGATATTTGAAAATAAATAAATCTAACTTTAACGCCTCTCTTTAAAACTCACCTCGCTGCTTCATTTCTTGATAATTTATTTCAATACAGAGAGACTGGAGATAGATCAGGGACCATCACAGGGTTTTCACCGAAAGTAAACCAGAGTTCACAAATATGAAAAATGAATTTTTAAAAAAACCAATTGAACTTTTGTCGAGACGCATTGTTTCTTTTTTATCATTCAAGTAGAAACACAACCTTTGAACATATACATATATTTAATTAGCCTCTGTTTTGAAAGGTCTTCGAACGGATGTGCTGTACGCACTCTTGTCCCGTTTTTCAACTTAAATGGAAATCTAGTCTCACTTTCTGTAATAATTAAAAATCACCAAATTTTCCAGAAAACTAAAGTGCATCTTTGTATTTTCACTTGAAAGCTTATTGACTTCATTTAGTCTTTTTAATCCCTAATTTTTAATCCTAACCCCAATTGTTTTTATTTCGCATAGGAACAGCTGATACGTAACCTAAAAAAATCAAACTGATACAACTTGGGAAAAAATCACAGAGTACGATAGAGTCGCAATGTACTGAGCGCCGAAGAAGTTAATTTTTTTAGGCTGTTTTGTTCGGTATTACTAAGACTAGTGTGCAGCAAATGGCGATGCTGTTATTGCATGGGAGCCCAGCTCCGGGCTTTGCTTAGGATATCTAGTTAAACAATTTATTTCATAAAAACCGGTAGCATCGTAAATTTTTTTAATTTGGTCAACATAATTTGCTAAAATTCGCAAAAATAATGATCAATTTATGTGGACAAATCTCAAAAACCACTCACGGCCCATGACTCTCCCATAGGCCGTAAAAAATTGCCGTATAGTTCCCAGATGGTTCCCACTTCCTGGTGAATGCAAGAGACTAGAAATGCATCATTCTAGGCATCATCGGCAATCCAGTGCGTTGCGACTCTTCGTATTCTATGGAGAAAACCACAGCACTCTAAACAAAATCGCAATTTAACTTTTCAAATTATCTGTCATCTTTATGCATGTTATGGTTATAATCATCAACATGCAATGATCCAACGTCGATCTCTCGCTTTCGAGAGGCTGTTCATTCGCACGAAGGTCGGCACATAAAACAAGAACAAACAAATAATCAATATCACTTTTTTTTATTACTCGACATTCCGGGTTCACTTTTTTTTATAAGAAAATTACCTGAAGATTGTTCTACAAATGAGAAAAAAATGCAGTTTTTTTTTAACCGGATTTTCTTCAAATTTTACTCGGAGCATTTTGTTTCTCTTCCTATTTATAAATTTTTCCTGCAGAGCAAAGGATATCGCATCAAATGTTTCGCATGAAATTAGCGTAAGTAACTGAGTTGGTTTTTGATTTGGCAACGAGTTGTTTTTGATGAGCCACAAAATACCCGGTGAACTTAGCATAATGTGTTTGTTCAACGTGATCAAACACATGAAGCGCGGCGATAGGCGTAAGTCGGCCCAATTGCTCGAATAGAGGTTCACTGTTAGTGTTTTAACTGTGTGCCGCTTACGATTCCATTTTTGATAACGGTTACAGGGAAACGAAAACAGTAATATTCAATGTGAGTGATTTTTCATGATAAAGTGGACAATTCATTGTAAGTAAATGCTTATAGATTGGACGATACTATTGAAAGAAAGCAAATATATAATGACGATTGTAATCATCATTAAATTAAACTGGGCGAAAAATTAAAGAAAAAAGAGAAAGTCTGTTGAAATCGGTAAATATGAACATGAGTTACACAGTAAATTTTTTTTGTTTTGAAAAATTGCAACCTTACCTTCTGGCATTTTTCGAATCCCGGCAGGCTTTAATCGCTCCAGCAATTTAGCATCCCATTGGGCTACATTTTCCAATTAAAAACTACTCAGCTCATTCATGAAAGCATATACCTTCATGGTGGTACTAACGGCACATATTCTGTTTCTAAAATGAACCTCAAATAATGGTTTCTTATTGCAAAATGTAGTGCAACTGAATCAAGTGGACTGCATTTTGCAAAAAGGAACCAAGAGCATTGCAATGTTGCTACGATTGTGCAACTTCTCTTGTCTTGGAAGAAAAACCAGGTCATCTATATAAACATTTTCTATTTCACAGGCTAAAAACTGTACATTTAAGACCAAAATTACCATGTAAATTTCATATTTTTGTATGATTTTAGTAATTTTATTGCAAAGGGTGAAGTCGCACAATCTAGCAACATGGCAATGCTTCTAGTTCCATTTTGCAAAATGCAATCCAAGTATACCATGCCGTGATGAAACCACCAAGAAGCACGACATTTAGATTTCCTGTCACATTTTACTTTATTGCAGGATGATAACCTGTCATTATTGCACAATGTTTGTGCAATTTTATTGCCTTGCCAAGAATATAATCTGACAATTTCTCATTGAAATTTCATGGGAAATACTCTTAAAAATAAGGTAGCGGAATTTTTGTAAAATCGAAGTCAATGTACATTATTCGATAGCCTCAGTCATCGATGAATGGGAAGCCGGCGAACCATGGCCATGCAGGGGGCCTTACGGAGTCTTTTCTAGCGATGAAGCGTTTACAGAGCGCGTATCGGGAATTCGAGTGGTTGCATCTTGAAAATACGAAAACTGCATGTGTGAAAGAGGTGAAATGAACTTTCTTCTGGTTGGTTTCTGTTGAAATTCCACAAATCTGAAAACAAATCAACGTATTCCTGTTATTCAAAAATAATAATGTCCATTGTTTGATTCGTTTGCCGGTTTTGACTTTGAAAAAAGGCAGCGTTCCCGTCTGCTATTTGTGGCGGGGGACGGGGAGGAGGAGGGGGCTTTAGTGTTTCAGAGCCATTAATTCGATTGAAAAATCCATTTCGACCTTGCCGTGTTCAGGCTATTTGTTACTCATATTTCTCTTTTAATGCAAAAAATATGATGGACATTCTTTTTATTTTGGGACTGGCGCACACTGGATCGAGTCAATCAGCGAGGTCGGACATGGAATTTTTGACTAAAACTGCAAATTTTGATGTTTATTTCGTCACATGTTGAATTTCGATGGTTACTTCAATAAGAAAATTTCACGAGGAAACCAATGGAACCACTTTTAGAACCTTAAAATTGAGTATAAATGGAGTTATAAGCTTAAAAAGTTTCCATATTTTGTCAGACCTAACCTACTGACTCGATCTGTGCGGCGGTTTAAAATCTGTAGAGAGTTCTCAAAATCGTATTTGATAGGTCAAGTTCATTTGGATACGTTGTTTTACCGTTAATTTGAAGAACCGATTTGTGTTAAGCCATGGCCTTTGAGTGCTTTCAACTCGTTCCAATTTTTAAAAGGAAAAAAAAAACGAGATAAGAATGTGTCAACTGACTTGATAATTGTAACGGCGCGGCGGCGGTGAGTAGATGGATGCGCAAACTTTTTTGAACATTAATAGATAAGTTGAAACGACAATGAGTACTGGCTTTGCTAATACAGGTGCGTCATATCCTCAATACTCCAACCTCTTCCTCATGAGCCTCCAATACATGATATTGAAGTAATCATCTAGAATCACTAACGAAATAGTGAGCTTGGAAGAGTGATCCTTCAACGGATAGCTCAGTTATTCCACATCCTTTGACAAGGTTTAGTCAGCTTTAAGTCAGTTTATCGAATCATTAGAAATTCATAACTCAGAGTAAGAAAGTCTGTTGAACTGTTAGTTGCAGACCGCAATATTAAATGAGAATCAAGCTGACTCTAATTATTTCCACAATTGACATTCAATTTAATGAAGTAAACATCACTTTCAGTGGGAAAATACAACAAACAGTGAAGTTTTGACCAGATGAATTTCGGTGTAAGTGACATTATTTTAAAAAGTCCACAATGATTCTCGATTTATAATATGCAGTATTTCTTTTAGCGGTTCTGCCGATGCTCGTGCCCCTGTGCTGCAATTCCGATCTTCTTTACTTTTGGATATACAATGCGCCATGTTTGCGGGAGTGCGTGGTTTTCACGCAATTATTGGATTGCTCGAGGAACGATAAGCCAATTTATCCATGTGAATAAACGAACTAGAGTGCGCGAAAACGTGTTCATTCAAGTGTTCCAATAAAAACTCGAAATGTGCGGAGAGTTATTGAATGGTGAATCAAGCTTTGAATGCTGCATTTAAATTGAATTTTTGGTATTTTTAAATGACTTAGAGGGCAGTTTCTTGTAGAGAGGGTATGGCGTTTTGTCTCTAAGATCAGATCAAAAACATCATCATCAGCAGCTTGAACATCAGCTTGAGTACAATCATGATGAGGCTAAAGTGCCCGAGTATGGCGCCTGTGAATCTTTGCCAGTTTTTCCCGGTGGTCATCGGGCTCTTATTTCACCTGTTCATGACTCTGTTTGCGGCTACCTCAAACTTTGGACCGGAGAGGCTTGCAACCCAAGGTTCTATTTGGCCAAAACCTAGATTTGAAAAACGGTTCCAGTTTTACTTCGCAGTCGACACAAATCAGCTTCAGTTCCAGGTGAGACCAAGTTTTCAAAACTACTTCAATATTGGAATCTACTCCCTATAAACCGCGATCTAATAGTAAGAAGCTGCAACCTTGCGGTAACATGAAATGTGAATATTACTATATTTAATTTACGGCAATATCAGAAAATATTAACACCGTTTGATGTGGCTAAACCCATACAGTGCATTCTGTGAGAGCAAAACAACTTACAAACAAGGCATGTAACCTGTTGTTTCAGCAACTATTTTTCAGACTTTTCTAATTTTTTAGCGTCTGGGGATACCTCAATTTATATGCCCCAGTAGAATTGATTGACGAAGTTGATAACCTGTTGTATACTTTTCTTCATTAAGATTCAATGTTCCATACACATTGATTGTCAAACTTAATATAATTGGAAGGGATTACCGGCATAATTTTAACTACGTCGAACGTTGCCTAAATTCCTTTCATGTGTCATTATTTTGCAAGAAAATTGAAAAATTATCTGTCTTGAAATTTTTGGGAACATATTTTAGACTCGGAGGAAATTCATGGAAAGTGTTTCGGCGTCATATTGATTAATTTTCCCTTAATAAAAATAAAATTGGAGATAACTAAGCAATACAGAATGCAGATAGTCTGATATTGGTTCAATGTGTTCCTTTATTACAGCCCTCCACATTTTATTTAAGTAAGCCCCCCCTCCCATTTTTTCTCTTTTTCTGCTTCAGATCGTGGGTGAAACCTGCAGTATTATTGACAGAGCTCTTGAGCGGTATGCAGTCCTTGCAAAGTCAACCGTCATGTATGGAAAAATTGACTCTGCTCGTCGTGGAGTAAAGAGTGCCCCGGAGCTTAATACAAAAAACTTGACAACGTTTAGAATAAACTTGAAGAAACCATGTGAGGAGTATCCAACGGAGAAAATGGATGAATCGTGTAAGCAGTTATCTATCTTTCTTCCAGCCCTCTCTCTCAACCTGTCACCCTTCTCTGCCCCTCTTAGAATTGTATATGTGTAAAAAATCAATGCGTAATTTTGTAGGAATTTTCATTAAAAAATGAGTTAGTAAATAAAATGTAAGAAATTTGCGAGTGTTACCACCTATATATTTGTACTCTCATCATCGGTTTGTAAATCCACTAAATTACGGATTTATGCTTATTCTGAGGGAGAAATACCACCAGATTTTTGGCCCTAATACGGTAAGTGACAGCATAGTATAATAGCACTCAATCCACACTATTATGGGCGCGAGGGACTTAAAGCTAGAAAAACACTTAAAAATTGTAAGAGTCACAAAATAAATCCAATGATTTTCGGTGTAAGTCGGTATCAGCTCAGATAAGAGAACTGGAATACTCAGCTGGGGTTTCGTTTGCTTACTATAATTTTAATTTTTGGTTTTTTTGGAACTTGACAGTGAACCCAGCATTATTCTATCATCCTAGTTACCCACACGGAGGTTACCTGAGTTCATATTTCCTGGTCCTTACCTAGTCATTTTTAGTATTTTTTCATTCACGCATCCTAAAATTTAAAACTGGAATAATATTCTTTTATTTGAAGATCAACTAACTGTGGCTCATCATTCATTAAATGACATGCCTGAAGATAATCTATCAGCCGATTCAGTTTGGGGCATACTCAGAGGACTTGAATCATTTTCTCAAATGCTTGTACCACATAAAGAAGGGCGTGTGGTAAGTATTCTGAGCTATGTGCAATTTGTTCATTTGTTATTGCATTTGTTTATCCCCGTTCTTTTTATCCAAAAAGTCAAGACGTGAGCCGTAGATTGTATTTCATATCGTCAGCGATTATAATTCTCCTTCAATTTTCTTGTATGCAACTCTTACAGTCCGCGAGTATGGTGTGGTGTTCATTCTTTTTGAAGGAGTTTTTTATTTGCAAGTCATACAGATTTTGAAGGAAGATTGAGAATTAAGAACTTAGATTTTTTAAGACATTGCGAAGAATAAAGACCGAGAAACTAGACCAAGAGTTCGCAGTGAATGCTTTTACACTGAAATTTAATTTACTTTCAGGCAGTTTTAGAAAAAAGTTTCAGCTGATTAAAGAACAATGAATTTGCTCCACTATCCTTGATTAGGTATCTCGTGTTAGTCTGCATGGTCTGGGATTATTTTATCTCAGATTAAATCAGCGTATGGAAATAATTGAATAAAATCTGCACACTGAAAAAAAAGTGGAAGTGGGATTGACCATAATGGTATAGTAAAAAAAAATATGGTGATAAAAAGCCAAATAATGGTCGATTTAAGCATCTAGATGAAAGTGAGAATCATACTCGATATAAAAATTACCATACCCGGATTGTAAATATCAGTTAGGTGTGTCTGTCCATCGTTTAGGTATTTCTCACCATCAGCTGGGTATTTTTTACCATACGATGAGTTAAAAGTATGGAATAACATGGTAACACTTGCGTTTGATATCCGTAGGCATCTGTATGCGACTGGTCATGGTGTTGGTAGGTTAAATTTACCATACTGGTATAGTCAGCGTGGTGAGAGCTCCCGCTTGACTGCGCTGCGGTCTGTGGTCCGCCATTTTTCGTTTGTCTGTTTGTCAGTTATAAATTTATCACGTTGAGGGTCGGAGTCCGTGGCTGTGTTTTATTGATCCATATTAATNAGAACAATGAATTTTCTCCACTATCCTTGATTAGGTATCTCGTGTTAGTCTGCATGGTCTGGGATTATTTTATCTCAGATTAAATCAGCGTATGGAAATAATTGAATAAAATCTGCAGGTTTACGCAACTTCTCTCTTGTAATGAGTACACTAAGCGTCTTTAACTTTTACAAACCAGGAAATTAACTAGTAACAATAAACTTGTAACTTTAGACAATACGAACAGTTACAGATGGAACCTTATTTGTCCCTTTGTTTTCTAAAATTTTGACGTATTTTTAATGTCAAATAATACGTTGTACACTACGCCGTTTACTTTTGATAATAAATGTAATAAGACTATTACGACCGAGCTGAGTAGAAAAAGTGAAATTAGAGGAAATTGAGTCAAAAAAAGATTGCTCGCCTATACGAGTTTATGTAAAATGAGTTTAAAGTTTATTTGCTGGATACATAAAACCCAGTGCATGATCTTGATTTTTTGTATCGCAGGAGCTAACAGCAGGTTTATCGGGTTTTTGGACTCTCTATCTCGAACTAATTTTACCTCAAAGTTTGACTTAGTTCTTTCCTAATATTTAGATTGCAAAACTTAATTGCAATGTTTGGTTTTAATAGAATCTATCCTTGCTTCCAGTTCATACTGCAAGGAGTTTTGATAGAAGATTCTCCTAGATTTCCCTATCGCGGTCTCCTCTTAGACACCTCCCGGCATTTCTTCCCCGTGCCTGCGATTCTCCGTGTGCTAGATGGGATGGCTTATTCCAAGATGAACATATTCCATTGGCATATCGTCGACGACCAGTCGTTCCCGTACCGGAGCATCCTCTTTCCTGAGCTGAGGTTGGCATACGATCCTTTTCAAAATTATTTTTTACCTGTGAGAATTACCAAGATATTTATTTGGTGCCCTGAAACAAGAACTAAAGAAAAGACAAAACATAATGGATCAATACGTCGTCCCAGACGAAGATAGGTAACTCCTGTACAAGGTTTGCAAAAGTAATTTTAACAATTCAATTTTTTTACAAGAAAGAATATAACTGCAATTTTTGTACAACGTGTTGTAAATTTTTACACGTAATTAGAGGAAAAATTTTTTTTAAAATTACGCATTTTCTAGATTGCTAGGTTTAAATAGTTTAACCCTCTTTAAAATCAAGAGGATATTTTTTGGAATTTATCATTTTACTGATGACGTTTTTTGGATTATGCGATTTATGTATGTTTCTAGTAATCATCGATGTGTTTCCGATAATGTAAATGTCTTTCGCAATGGATGCCATCTACAAGACTTTTACTTTTTCCTCTCTGTTAAATCTTAATCACTCTGAAAAAAATATGTTTTATTAGTTCTCAGTATAATACTTTTGTAGTGCCAAAGGAGCATACCAACCCGAATTAGCTGTGTACACACCCTGCGACGTATTGGCTATAATTGACTACGCGCGTGATCGTGGTATACGCGTGATTCCGGAATTCGACGTGCCAGGTAATTGTCTTTCTATACACAAGCTCTGAATTATTATTTGATCAACCTAATTTTATTCTTCTCCTTGTACTCCACCTTATTCTCAGTAATTTTCATGAATTATCCATTTACTATGCAGTCAAAAAATCTTGTAATGTGTCATCAAAGGAGGAATTCCAGTAAGGGAACCATTTACTGATAATGAGTTAAATTTTAGTCGAGTAAGCATATGGCTGACGACATCTTTAGTTCCAATCGTTTCGTTTGGCGACCCAAATGATTCGCTAGTCCTGAAAATAACCGTTTTTTAGGTAGCATCTCTTACAGTTTAGGGTTGGGCAAAAATCCAAGGAATGAAAGATTTACGACCCTTTTTTTCGGGCGCATCATACTCATACGTATGCTTATGCATCACATGCATATCTTTTTTTCATTAACTTATAGGAGGGAAATTATGTTAAAAATTTGTAAAAGCCTCATTGCAGTTTTTATTCAAGTACTAACAAATCGAAACAGCAGAATATGACACCCTCGTAAAAAAAAACATAATCATGATGTTCAACCGATTATCAGGGGGACCTTACGCAGAAATCTTCAACGGACCTCACTGTAGTGTTAACAAAGTGTGATGTAGTCCACTCTTCGTTTCTCTACCTAGAATTTCCGAGTCAGAGTTAGCGAGTTTCTAGGTAAAGAAACTACAACGGGTCCCGTAACAATCGAGCAATACTGTCATGATAATCATTGAAGATTTATTCATACTTCACTAGGGATGCCCAAATATTTAAACAAAATTCAACAGACCGCAAGTATTTTAACTTTTAGGTTCTATGTCTTTTAATTACGTCCATAGGCCATGCTCGATCTTGGGGTGAAGGCGTGGATGGTCTGCTAACTAGATGTTCCTCTACGAATGAGTACGGACCCATGGACCCCACCAAGACAGAAACCTATGTCTTTCTCAGGGATTTTTTCGCGGAAATAGCATCCGTCTTTAAAGACAAGTATGTCCACCTAGGAGGTGATGAACTAAATACGAGATGCTGGTAAGTATGCCTAGACAGTTTAGTGAATTTCCAAACTTAATAAAAGCTAATTATATCATTTTCTAGCTTTTGAAGCCACGATGCTGAAGGTCACGCATATAGTAGGATATTCAATCAAATTCGTACATTTTGGTAAGCCAATTGCAGTCAGCATGTATTCAACTATCAATCATCAAAGGTCAATATTCACGGATAAGCCATCATTTGAAAATGATGCACAGAACAGTTTATAAATGAGGAGTCTTTATCACAGCCACTCACGTATCTAAATTTTTATATATATGACAAAATTTTATCGAAGTGAGCATGATTACGACCTATTTCTCTCGCATTTCAGGGAGGACAACAAGCTGATAGCAGATTTGATGGCTAAGAGCAACGACAGTCAAGATATAACAAGCCTGAAAAGATTGTTTTACCAGAGGGTGCTGGATATTAACAACAAGCTCGGCTTAAAATCCATGTTTTGGGAGGAAATTTTGGAGACGGGCTTGCCCTTGAACAAAGATACAGTGATTCAAGTTTGGAAGGTTGAAAGCACTTACACCATCCAACCGGTGAGTCAAAAATAGGGTGTTTGGATATTGATGAGATTGAAAATACTCATTTTGATTTCGGTCAAAAATCCCATTTGGATTTGCACTTCTATAGGAAAACTTATAGGTAGGTACCGAATTTTTGCATGAAATTATATGGAAGAATACTTTTGAAGTTGTAATAAGCAAAACAATTTTTGGTCTTAATTGTGACTGAAAACTCAACTCCAAAACTTGGGCATTTCAATTGTTGTAAAAATTTTATCACCATCGGAGGGCAAAATATAGCTAGAAATTGTACGTCATTTCGCAATTGAATTTGTGCTGATTTACTCGCGTAAAGGATGAATACATTCATGAAAAATGTGTTCAATAAGTTTTGGTTCCTCTTGAAATAATGTCACGTGAAAACCAGCTCAGTGTTCATGCCAAGAAAAAAAGGTTGGCAAACCGGGGTTACCCAGATTTTGGGTATAGTTATACTGGCTATGTCCTGATCACTAGTATTGCGAAGGATAGTGCTGGTACATATCCAGAATGTAGGTGTTGCCATTCTGTAGAATCCATGTCTGAAGTTGATTTTTCTGTGCTATCTCCATTTCGAATATTCTTCCTTAATCGCGGCCGGTTGATTGTTGAAACGATTGCTGACAGATTAATCTTAGCGAGAAATGAAATCGGCAAAAATTGGCAATCCGACCGCCAACTTTTGATGAATGGATCGCCCCTGATGGTGATATAGCGATCCAGTCACCAGCTTCGACGATCGAATCCCATACTTTCCAGTTGCACCATACACAGTTTACAACTCCGTCAACAACCGTTACCTCTGCGTTTTTTTGTTTTAACATGTTATCCGCTAAGCAACTTAGATAGAATTTGTGAATCCAATCACTTCATGAATTACATGTTAAGTTGTGCGATAATGGGACTGAGCTAATGAGAAAAGAACCAAGTTTTTGGCTCTAGTTCAAAAACAACGTATCTTAAATGAATAGTGCACATAGAAAGTGGTTTTGTAACGAGGCGAAAAACTTGGTTCCTTTCTGATAAACTCAGTCCGATGATGATGTTACCAGGTCGTGTCCCGGGGCTTCAAGGCGGTCTACTCCGGCTGCTGGTATCTGAACATGCTAGAAAGGAAGTGGCACGACTACTACAAGTGCGACATCCTGGAGTTCAACGGGACGCCGCGGCAGAAATCCCTTGTGGTAGGCGGGGAGGTCAGCGTCTGGGGCGAGTGGGTTGACGAGTCGAACCTCTCGCCGCACATCTGGCCGCGAGCCTGCGCGGCGGCCGAGCGCCTCTGGACCTACACGCCGGACTCCGAGGCTGCCGCTGGGGCCCGGATCGAGGAGCACGCCTGCCGGCTCAAGCGCCGCGGGGTCCCGGCCGCCCCGCCCAACGGCCCCGGATACTGTCCCGTCATCCCTCTCGCAGAAGACCCTGGTGCATCCACTCGCGAGGTGGACGCCGAGACGCAGCCTCGAAAGTTGGACGCCGAGACGCAGCCTCGAAAGGTGGACGCCGAGACACAAACTCGAGAGGTAGACACCGAGACGCAAACTCGAGAGACCTCCAAGCCGCAGGCACCAACCAAGGCCCCCTCCGACGTCTCCAAGCCGGAGAGTGAGGGCTCCTTCGCGGAGTCACTTTTTGAGTTTTTCTCGTATTTTAGGTTTCTCAGAGCTTCTTATTAGATAAGTTACATCATTATCTATGTAAACCATCATAACATAAAAGCACGTGGGTCATTCCACGTCAACGCAACCAAGGTCGGAACCCGACCCCCTCCGATTTGGCTAAAAATTGGTATACGGGGTCTTTACATCATTCTAAGAAACTAATTTGAAGGGTTTTCCCATCCGACGCCCCGTTCGCGAGATATCGACCCCCAAAGATGGGGTGAATTTTAGTGATATTCAAAAACGCCCGTTTTAGCGATTCTCATTTTCTCGACTTCNTGGAATGACCCACATACCATATATATAAAAGCCTTCTCACACACTGGAAAAAAAAAACGCATTGGATCTAGAGTCCAGACTCTTGAAAACATTGACAAGAAAAAATACTCTTGATTCAATCAGATTTAAGCTTAAATCAAAAGAAAATCCGCTCAAATTAAGAGGCTTGTTTCTTAATTTAAGCAAAAATCCGATTGAATCAAGAGTATTTTTTCTTGTCGATGTTTTTAAGAGTCTGGACTCTAGATCCAATGTGTTTTTTAAGCGTGCCAGTAGGGCTCGCTTTTTGAAATCACTCGGATGTACCATAGTACAGCACACAGATCAACCAATGCTATTCAACGGGTCGTCCAAATACTTTTTTCCTCGCACCCGTTTCTTTGTCTTTGAACCATTACACTGTCAAGCCCTGATGGTCTTTTACCAAAAAATCTAATGAACTGCTAATTGAAAACCCTTGAGAACATTTTTCTGTCAAAACCGTATTATTCAATTTGACAGAAACCTCATAGGAGCTTTCTTACGCTCGGAGGACTCAACTCTAGAACCTTCTTTCCCGCCAAAACTCTATAGCCAATGAGCGTCTTGCACTGTAAGTGCAATCTGTGATGAGCCTCGTGACTCATTATACTATGTACTAACCATGGCCCCTGCCGAAATCCACTTAAACCACTACAGTTATCTCGCGATATAGCTTTGGGTGTCCGGTTTAGAGCAAGGCAATAAAAGACGGCGAGGCGATTAACCGATTAACCATTCACCGTGATGCCAGGATCCACCAAATTTTCTCAAAAATTGTTTTCCGTCTATTTAGCGAGTTTTTCTTTACTTTCCGTTGAAGTACAAATAAAAAGAGACCTCATTTGTACAAATCGGCCGAATAGGAGAGAAGTTACAGTTCGAAATCCAAAGAGATTAACTGGACGCGATTTCGATGCACGGTAGTTCGCCCAAATCACGGTCGTGCGCAAATGCCGTATATCAGCTTAAAATCAAGATAATTGGACGGAATCTTTAAAATTAATTTACATTCAACGTTCATGAATCAATATTTTCTCCCAAATTTAGCAAAAAGTACCAATTGATGCAAAAAGCAAAGACGTGAAAATAAGAGGTATTTGTCCAACATTTCAGTTATTCGGCACGCTTTTCCAACATACTCATGTTGGATTTTTTTTTCTTGTTTTCCAGTGCAGGAAGAGCCCTATCAAGCATCTTCTTCGGCAGCCTTTCTTCCGTCATCCTGTTAACATTGTCGGCCTCCTGTGTGTAGGGATTGTAGCGCTGGCTCTATAAGCAGGAGGTCCCGGGTTCGATTCCTGGCTAGGCGACCCGAGTTTGATGGTCTCAAACAACGGTTGCCTCGGGCTGGTACATAGTAGGGACGGAGGGGGCGAGGCTCTAGCTGGAAGCGTAGAATTACCACATGTCTGGTATTTGAAGGAGTAGTGAAAAAAAACATGACCATACATAGATAAGCAGTTTGGTCATGACGTCGAATAAGATGACATCGTATGGACGGCATACTTGAGTAATACACCGTATTTCTGCTATAAAGGGAACTAGAAATGTGTGCTGGGAAAGATGGGGTGCGCTCGTAGTGAGCTGGATAGGAAACAATGTAAAAGTGGGGGTTACTCCTTTTGGGGAAATGAATAAACGGGATTTGACATTAAATCAAACGGAACCAAGCGCCAATTGTATGCTAACCCATGAGCCGTGAGCGTGTGACAAAAGCGTTGTGGACAGGGCTCATGAGTTAATGTGGCATCGTTGAGCTTGTCGAGTCCGGTCGTCGAAGGCGATGTCACCGGCGCGGCGCATTATTTTTTTTTTTACGCACCTTAGATATCCCACGAGGGATAATATTGCGCTTTGCCGTCCCTAAAGTTCCATCCCCCTCCGTACCTAATCAAGCCAATCCCCGATAACCGTTGTTTGAGATCATCAAACTCAAGTCACTCTGACCAGGAATCGAACTAGGGACCTCTCGATCATAGAGTAAGCGGTCATGGAGCAAAGCTTTACAATTCCCATTCATTCTTACGACTCTCCATTAACGTGCACGCCTCTTCTTTCCCACCTGCATATGGTTCCGTTTAGCAGAGATACGTCCAATTGTCTCTCTTCGGTGGATAGCCCTCGCAGTACGAATGACCCAGAGAGCTTTAATAGACATTCAAAAGAAAACTAGGGGCCTGTGGCCGCTACGCGGCCGCCAACCACTGGAAAAAACTACACGTAAAAAATCGTAAAACAACCATTTTGAAGTTTCTTGAGAGATGAATGGATTCAAAACCCGACGGTTGAACCCAAAAGAAAGCAACATTCATCTCTGATTGCAGCGTTATGCACCAGTTTTATATTTTATTTTTAATAAATGTTTTTAACAGCCACACACAGTTCTTTTGAAAAGTTTCCGTGAATATACCTAAATGATCTCAAATAAAAGTATCGAAAATTTCGACGCGATACTTTCGTTCGTTCTATTTTTTTTTTTTTTTTCTTTTTAATGTAACAAAAAAAATTGAATACCATCCTAGTTTCTGAATCGTTACAATGAGGATAGATATTTCCTTTTAAATTACTATGGTAAAAACTGAAGCAGAAAGTCAAGAATGATGGCACGCGCTCCTACAGCATTTCTACAGCCTTGTAGGCGCTAGTATGCGTTTCACACCAACTGACCGACTGCACACTGCGTTTGGCGCAATGCGAGAAGTATTCATGCAGTCTTGTAGGCGCTATTATGGGCGCTGTTTGGCGCAATGCATGAAGTATTCCTCAAGGCTTGCAGGCGCTAGTATACGTTTAACACCGGCTGCGCTGTGTTTGGCGCGATTATTTGAACTCGCTTTAGAATAATCGCGACAGCGAATAATAAGCTGTCTATTTTGTGTTTCGCCGCAGTATGAGCATTCCAACGTTGCCTCGTTTCTCCAGATCAAATATTTTTTCCGAGAAAAATTAGGGACGTTCTTTATCCCCACGACTATTATTCAATATTTTCACTTCATTTATCATCAGAAGGTAAGACATCGATGACTTGTCAACAAATTTAACAAAACTAGCGTCAACATAAAAATGCGATTATTTTACAACTGTTTCCTGCATTGCCAAGCTTCTACTTTTAATTAACTTCATTTTAAATTCCTGCATTACTGTAGCAGATGTTAAGGTTTCTATTCGCGCAATCCTTCTGCCTTTTACGCGCAATTCTCATGTATTATCTTAGACCTTTCGCGCAATCCTTGATCACCGCAATGCATAGGATTGTGCAAATTTCATTCCTTGCTGTAAAGTTACTGAAGTCATGAAAAAAATTTTTACAAAGGTGATTTTCATCTAGAATTCATAGTTTATTGGGAGTGGAGATAAAACTTGTTTAGATATTTAATTTATAATTGCAAGGTAAAAAAAAAGTTGCATCATCTCACGTATCCCAATGTATAAATTTAAACATTCCGCTCATAGAAAAAACAATCATCATCTTATTTCGATTATGGGATATTGTTTTCGTATCATTCAGGGCGAATGCAATGGAAGCATAGGTAACTCTAATCTCATTACATTCACCTTGCTAGAGCTTTTTGGAACCTCCCTCACTTCTGGTGTGGGGGGGATGAAAAAGAACTAACATGTAGACGAGGTGCATTATATAAATGAGTAAACAATATATTAAGGATCAGAGAAGAGAAAGGAAAAAACATTATACCTAGAAACATAGTAAAAATCACTACAAACAAAATGAAGCTCTCTATATGTTCCTTGTTTATATCTGCCAAAATTTGATCAACACTACCAAAGATCGTTTGTGCTTTAAAAACCATTCAATTCTTTGGTTTTGGTGTCATTTTCCGCGGTTCTAATCTAATCCTAAAACCATCAGCTCTTTTAAGAATGATGTCGGCTTGCAGCTTCCAGTCTTTTTGTGGGACGTCGCTGTAGATTTTATAGTTCCTCAAAACCGTGGAGAGCAGTACTTTTAGTTGCAGCATGGCAAATTTGCGACCTGCAATCGTGAAAGTCAGAATGAAATTGATTAATGGTAAATATAGTATATTAAAGAGTACTCGTTGTTTTAGCAAACTGCTGTGTTCTTTAATGTTCTCTACTCGACATTAAAAGAAATTAACAAATTCTGTATTTTTCTTTCTTTTTTTGCAATTTCATTTTGCACATATATCACCGGCAGAATTTGTTCAATATTACCCTTAGAGAATTTTTTAGATCAATGGTTGAACATCATGTTTTTCATGAAAAACTAAGAATGAAAAAATTCTGTGAGTTAGATAATGAAAGGGAGCCATAATGAAACAACTGGATTTTAATTAATCTAAAGAAAATCAAAAGAAGACATTCATTCCTTTCCTGTAAAACGGAGTCTATAATTTTCATAGGCCTGTTACAAACTTTTGCCAGAGCAAGAATGAGAATTTTGTCCATCAGCAAATGTCTTAAAAACTACGACAAGGGCATTGGCAAAGTTTGAAATGTACTCCTAACCTCACAATTTGCGTAAAAAATTTGCGTTTGGTTGAGCTTCGCGCTTCAAAAACGATACTACGGCACAAGTGAATATTTCCTTAGAGGAGTCGTTCCATTCAACCCTTTCTTAATAGCAATACCCAAAATAGCCGACGCTTCCGCGCGCAAATAGCAATCGGCAGCACAAGGTAAACCAAAGCGGATATTTATCAACGCGAGGAAATCGTGAATGTAAACACGCTGTGTTGTTAACAAAAAGTTATACAGTGCAGTACAGTAAGGTTGTTGTACGTGTATGTAGAATCTCGTCCAGGTACATGTGTTTTGGTGGGTTTTTGTCGGCCATGTTGAATATTGTGTAGTATCCAAGTGCACATAGGGGTTGGATAAAACGACACCTCTAACAAAATGTTCAACTGTGCCGTGGTATTGTTTTTGAAGCGGGAAGCTAAAAAAATGCAAATCTGCGCAGATTGTCAAGTTCAGAGTGCATTTCAAACTTTGCCAATACGCTCATCGTGATTTTTGAGACTTTTACTGATATAAACAACCCTTATTTTTGCTCTAGCAAAAGTTTGCAACATGCCCACTATGAGAGGAATTTTAAAATTGACCTCCACTCACCAAGACAGCCTCTAGGTCCTGCACCGAACGGGACGAAAGCATAGTAATGCCTGTTCGTCGTTTTTTCAGGTAAGAAATTGTCAGGGTTGAATTCATCAGGATTTGGATAAATCGATGGATCTCTGTGCAGCTTAAATATTCCGATGACAATAGTGCATTTTGCGGGAACGGTTAAATCCGTGGACTCTGAAAATGTCATCAAAAGTTTATTTTTTTATGAAAGCTACCGATTATTCTCCTTATAACAGCATTCCAAACTGATATTATAATTTTAAGAGCGTTTCGAACAAATATTTGCTCTCCTGATTCATGAAAGTATCACAGAAGTAGAATACGCACCATTACAGGCACTACTAACGGTTACCTTTAAATACATTTTAATGCCAAATTTGGCTGGCTAAGCTGCATAGAACATGGTAATTGATCGCAAAAAATTGAGGTACAAGCCAAAAATGAAACGTTCAAAAATGAAAAGAAACGTTTGCTTTGTTTCTTGTAAGTTTTGTGTTATTTTTCATACCTCCGTGTAGTTTGAAGTATTATTTGTTTAATTTATTTTTGGCTTGTAGCTCAATTTTCTTTATTCAATTACCATGTAAGATACCTTTAAATTTGTTTCTTCTACAAGAAAAAATTGTCTTGAGTTTCAAACTTACTTAATTTGATCTCTTCCTGTGGCTCTCGACCGGTCATTGGCACCGGTGGGTACAACCTCAAAGTCTCCATTATGCACCTTTCCATATATTTCATTTCTAGCGTATCTTCAAACGTGCATGGCCTGTCCGAATCACCGAATATTTGTTCAAGCTCCTCTACTACCTTTTCCTGTTGCAAAAAAGGCGAGTTAAATAAAAATTATGAAGTCAAATCAATGTTTACTCCAGTGATAAAGGTTTTTTATCACCTGAGCCAAAATGTAGTTTTCACTTTTTAAGTATGACTGAGCTCATAGGTACCTATATTTCAAAGAGTGCGACGCTCTGAAACAGTCGTTTTCAAAAGGGGACAGGTTCATTCCTTAGTTAGCATGCCCTGTTATGCAAGCCAAGGCTTAATGGACTTGTTCCCTTTTGAAAACAACTGTTTCACTTATGAATGTGAGTGGACAATAATGAATTTTAACGTGCACTATTTGCGAAAGGAGAATTTTCTTTGTCACAGACTGATTTCGAAATTATTCTGTGCACTACCGAGTTTGTGTCTGAATGAATTGATCAATGTTCAATTCTAGATATTCCTTTTTACCACCATTTTTAGAGGTAAAGTGCCTATAACTTTCTCACGTGACACTAGCGTGCCATGGAAATTCACCGTTCAAATCTCACAACAAATGCAAATATCACATTGTAGTTGAGGAGGAAAAATAATTAAACATGAGAATAGATAACGATTAAAAAAATGTAGACTTGCCTGTATATCGGGGCGGACTCCCATCATACAAAGGAAGAAACTGCTTCCAGCGGCCGTGGTGTCGTGGCCCTATAATGTTGGTTGCAAACAATTTCAATATTAAGTATTATTTGAGATGATTATTTGAGTATGAGCCCAAGTCTCAGTGAATGTAAAGTTCATCTCTTGAATTATGATGCAAACTTTATTTCCTGTGGAAAATAATCCTTAAAAACGTTGAGATAAATGCTAAACTGAAAAAATTTCCACATCATAGTATGTGATATTTCTTCTACGTTCCCATAGTTCGATGATTTTAAATAATTTTGCTGTATTTTCAGTATGAATATGAAATATATGTGGATGATGTTTTCGATCAATGTGTGAAATAAATGGTTACTTGTGAATACTTTTTCAAAGTAATTTTCATTCAATTTGGATGTATGCAAAATCGCATCATCTTTCTCCTCACGCGAAAATTTTTATAATCGGTTTTACCTAATTATAAGAAACATTTAGACCAGAGGATCAAAATAATGCTGGAAACAACTTACTGCAAACATGATGGTATTAATTTGGTCTCTGATATCTTCATCGGTCAAGTTAGCTCCATTTGCTGCATTTTCAATGAGTGATTCTAGGAAAGGCTGGCGCTTCTTTTCACCTGACAATTTGAAATTGAATTGTTACTTCATCTTCATCTTTGATTTAACCAGAAAAAAATGATCAACCGTACATGGGGGTTTGTACTGTCACAGGTTCAGCAATCCTGCGGACCCCAGCTAGTATAGCCGCGGCCTCAAAGGGGGCTCGGAATGTGTCACCGACTTTTAGGTGTATGAACCATCCAGGGTAAGGCGGATTGGGCTCTTAGCCGTTACTGAGGGTAACCGATATGGATTGGGTGTCTCAGAGCGCCAGAGAGCGCTATGAAAAAGGCTCTTATGTATATGAAATGATCAACGGTCAACCAAAAATGATTGGAACTATCAGACTTTGATATTTCGTGACGTTCATTATCGCGGCTTTAACTTAATGTCCCCTCGAGGAGCCGGGAATGGATTGATACAAGTACACTGGAAAAAAAGAAAAACACATTGGATCTAGAGTCCAGACTTTTGAAAACATTGACATGAAAAAGGACTCTTGATTCAATCAGATTTAAGCTTAAATCAAAAGGGAAGCCGCTTAAATTAAGAGGCTTGGTTCTTGATTTAAGCTTAAATCTGATTGAACCAAAAGTATTTTTTCTTGTCGATGTTTTTAAGAGTCTGGACTCTAGATCCAATGTGTTTTTTTCCAGTGTATGTACGATATTTACGATTTTAAAGTGAAGTTATACGTTCTTTCATTGCCAAGTGACAATTTTTTCATTACTTTTACAAGCAAAATGCGTTACCAATGTCATCATCTAGATCGTCTTTGAGCCCTGCTGATTGACCATATGAAACTCCTTCTACTGTCTCCGTGACTTCTCCCTTGTTCCTTTTCGCGTCAAGTCTCTGGGCCCCTCTTTCGGCCTCTTTGACCTCTTCGGACTTTGTATTACACTTTTCAACTGTCGTTTGTTTCTTTTTCAAGAAATCTGCTCTCTTCTTTTTCGTGACCTTGAAAAAAAATCACAAAAAACAGTTATTTAGCATGAGCTACAGTTCAACGGTAGAAGATACATTTTGGTGATGTTTCGACATTTAAAAAATCAGATTGACCATGATATAATGATATAATATCAGCTATCAATGGAAGCGCATAAACAGTCGCACGTACTTAAAAAATTAGAATTTAATGCAGAATAGTCGCAAATTCTGTGTAATAGTTTACATCAAGCAGCAAAAATGAGTATAACCGTTAAAAGCACAGATTAAATAAATCCTAGTGATTGGGCAAAATTTTAAATCACATTATTACGAAATGTGCAAAGCAAATTAAACCAACGCAGCAGCTCCAATTTTAAGATTGTGTCCTTAATCTTTTGAGCTACTGTTGGAATCAATATTGAAAATTAGAGATTTTTTTAGAGACTCACTTTCTGAGGTAATTCATCGATATATTTAAGCAGTCTATTATGTTCAGACGCATAACTGGTAAGTTTAAAAGCACTGTCCGGCCGCAACCATAATTTCACTTGTCGTAGATGCAAAATTTCACATAGCCTGAAACAATATTTGTCAGTGTGTAGCATACAAGTAAAATAAAAACAGCATATTTACAGCCAAGAAAACTGTTTCTGAATATACTCCCTTTGTCTCATTTTCCCTTTTTTAAGCATTAATATAACTCAATTTAGTCAAAACAAAAAAGTAAATTGTTTTCAATAAGGACTGACATCGACATTTCACTTACTTCTGCGTTAGCCTACACAAATTTACCATGCATATGACTTTTGGAATGTAACAAAAGAACTTGAATTCGAATCCCAGATCTCCTCGACGTTTCACTTTCATCCATCACATGACTATCATTTTGTAGTTAAAAGGGCAATGTGAAGACGTACAGTTTAAAAACTGTGAACTTACTTCATGACAGCTGAGGCATATTCAAAACCGTTGACCTGGTGTGTTTTTTTGTCGACACCCATCGCAGTTTCTGGAAATCATGTAAGATGAGGGTAAAATAATTATACTCGACGTAAAATAATTCATAATTTTTTTTGTGAATTAAAATACTTCACTAAATACTACAAGCACTATAAGCTCTGGAAAGACCGTCCTAGTGGATCCCGTTTCAAATGAAGTTGCCTTTTCTTTTGCTTGTGGGAATACTATAACTGCTATAAGTGCTATTATGAGGAAAGATAATTTAATTAAATTGAGATTTATAAAGATGATCTTTAGTTATATCACATTATGTTGGTATCGTATCATGGTGTTGTGTTTTTAGTGTATTTTCTGAAGAAAACACACTATTGCATTCTCCCATGATGTCGGACCTAGACCTGAGATCTTGTGGAGAGCACCGATCGCGGGTTGTAGATCACGAAAATATAGTCCACTCATGTGTGTATATATGCAGATTTATAAATTTATTTAAAGGTGCTTCAACATAACATGGGTCATTAACACCTTAGAGTAGAAATCAAAAAAGAGAAGTATAAAAATTAAAAGAAAGGAAGGATAATCAGTTAAATTTGGAGATTGAGTCGTTTGAAAAACGGAAGGATTTGATGAAAAAAATTCGAAAGTATGGTATTGAGATCAGAAAGAGGAGGGAAATTTTTGGATATAGCTTGGAGCGAAACGTCTCGATTTTAATATGTATAATAATTTTAGCCTTGTTTCCCCTGTTTCGTGTTTCACATTATGTAATGTAACGTAATCGTAACTTCATTGTAACGTGAGTGAAACGTTTGTATAACACGAGTGTCTCGTATTTATTTTGGATTAAAATGGTGCACTACATCTGTGACGAGAGACCGTCAGTTTGAAAAAAATATTTCGGAGAGTTTCCACTGTTGGTCATCAAATGGAGGGAAAACTTGGTTCATTTTCGGAGATGCCGATCTTTATTCTTCTGATGCATTCTCCTTGCCACCGAGCACATATTTTCAACTAAAATTTAGCGTGGTTTTATCTAATTTATAGCTTACCCAACAGAATTTCTGTGGTGCATGCACCCATGTAATGGTGGACGTCAAATTCTTTGGAACCTTCCTCCTTCATTTTATGGACGACTGATAAACTATGTTTGTAGAAGTGGTCAACGAATGATCTCAAAACATTCAAATGGAAGGATGGTGCGATGAGCTTTCTTAGAGCTCGCCATTTTTCACCTAAAATTTTGAAAAAAAAAAACATTATCAACTCGGATTTCGGTAAGTTAATTTTATAAGTTTGCGAAGAAGACAACTCATTTCGTTTTTCAGTGTTAAAAGTAACTTTGCTTCACAGAACAGCAGGAAAACTAATGTAGGCGTGCAAGAAAACGCAAGTACTGTATAGGAAATTTGAAAGCATACATTTGCTTGATTTCAATATATTAAAGATTAGTACGGCTTTAATTTTTCCCAAGGAGCCCCAGAAGTGATTTCAGGTAACAACTCTTAATTTTTCCCTAAAATGTGGGTTTCACGAGCATTACGAGGATACATAAGATTTTTCTAAAATTTCCTTAGTTTAAATAATCTTAGTACTACTAAAATGCCCAGTGAGTTCTAAAATGCAGCATGACAATTCATCTCTAGGCAAAGAATATTCACATGTCACTCACATCAACTAACAACAGCTCATTTCCGCGCACACTATTGCTTCTTCACGCACACTGAGCGGTATATTTTAAATGTTGCAAGTCAATTGTATTTCTAACTTACCATTATTGATAAGGATACCACTACGAAGCCAAGAATTGAAAAATCCATATTCAGGAGATTTGTAGATGTGTGTTTGACTGCCATAAATTACCTATAACACGATAATTATTTTTCATAACAACCCTCTTCTTATTAGAGCTATGAAATAGAAAAAAGGCCAGAGATACTTTAAAAATATTTTTTTTCGACATTGATGTGGGAAGCCCCAAGTCAATTTTTACAATTTTTAAAGGATTGCTGCAAATATCATAAATACAAGTGTTGCACACTTAAAGTAATACATAAAGCGCAAAAGCACAAGGTGGCAGAATCTCAACATGAATAGTTCCGTCTTGAAGGTGCTCCTTCAAATCGAAAGCTAGGCTGCAAGCACTACCAACCTCTAATACTCGACTGTATCTAGTTTGGTTATTAAAGTCCAAACTCGTAAATATACCTGGACACCCCTTGCCCTTAGGTAGATTCTTTGCATTTAGTTTGATATGACATTATGTAAAAATATAAAGCCTCGGTTCAGCTCGGCTTTTCGATAGTGACAAGTTTCTGTATTAATTTCCGGAAATATTAAGAAGAACTTAAACGGAGATCGGATTTCTTATACGATTACAACGAAAACAATGTACGCATCATATTGGCGCTGGTCCTAGTAATAATATGAATTCAAAATGTTCCAAAATAGGTATGGCCAACAAGATAGAGTCCCTTTATACTGAGAGTTAAGACAACCTTCTTTCATGGAGTCACAAACGGGAATAAAGATTACACAAATTAAAAGTTTTTCGTAATCTTTAATCGGTCCATTCTCAAATTTCTTTCTCCGTTTCTTCTCTCATTCCGTTTGCTCCTTGCCGAACCCGTAACTCCCCGGTCCATTCCAGATTATAATCTTTGCAATTGGTGAAAATGTAATCTTTATTCCCGTTTGTGACACTGTGGGGGCCTGAAATACGGGAACCAATCAGAAATGGATTCGCATTGTCTTAATTCTTAGTGAAAAAGGGACTCTACATCAAGATATCTGACTTTTTTAAGAATGAGCCTCTAAAGTTTATGATTGTATGAAATCTTACTTGCGAGTGCGTGATATCAGACTTTAGAGCCAATTGGGACTGAGATTGTTTTCTATCCAAAAAAGCTCTCTCAAAAAAGCTGTTATGAATGGCATAATAAGGACGGTCTTGTGTCTTCGCAAATTTGTTTCTTTTGTTATCTGCTCTTCACGGATTTAAAGTTCCATCAAAATTGAGGAATGGCTTACCTCGATGTCTTTTGGGTGTGATAAAAATACAATGAGACGATGACCGATCCAAAGTTTTCCTGGGGAGCCATTCTTTGTGTATTTGTGACTTAGTTTCCACATCTTCTGGAATATCTCTGAAAACATACTCATATTAAAATAATGGTACTTTTGAATTGTTTTAACTTATTAGAACACCAGTAGTGAGATGATGATATTTGTTTGAGGAATAGTCGATGAGAAAATTATAACCACTCCTGTAATAGAGCAATACTTAGAAAATCTCAGAATTTATAAATAAATTGTATATCTTTTACCATACAAAAAGCTGCTTTTTAAATCAACTACCTAACAAATATATACTAAGGTATTGGAACTAAACATTTCCCCATGAAACTGACGTAATTTAATGAGTGTTTTTTTACTAGTTTTAAAAATTAGATCTGCTACAACAGCGTAAAATGTTGAAATTAAATTTTAACCGTGAATATAAACTATGTTTTCCGTTTTTAAAACAGAATTATGCTCAGATTAATGTTTTTGAGAAAATGTATGGATACTTAAATTAAACCTACTCATTGGATCACCAACAAACTCGTGAATGCTACCCGCTAAAGGGTATCCCTCTGGTCCTTGAATTTGGGCTGCTAGTTCGTAGAGCCGTTTACGGCTCATTCTGAAGTAGACAAACCATAGAATTATGGTTGGAATTAGTAAGTAGAATAAAGCATCAGGGTTTGAAAATAGCGAGGAAGAGCTGAGGCTTGTTTTAGCCATGTCTGCCTTTCTGCAACCAAACCAGGAAAAATTAAGTACGTAAATAACCTTGACTTTATAAGTGTCACGTTAAAAAATTATATGAATTTTGAAAATGCAAAATTTAAACTTTTTTGGACGAAAATGCAGTATCAACTCCATCAAACGCGTAGAAAGTAAGTTTCATCCTTCTTTTGAGGCGCAAAACAAATGGATTGATAGAAATAAATTTTAGGAGTAAATGGATTAAATTTTTACTGGGTGTGTGGATCTTGTAGTTTGATCAAGTAAGCTCTCATGCGGAAAAATCCATACACGTTTCAAGTATGTACTCCTAATTAGTTTTGAATGTTAAAATAAAAAAATGTCATTTTCTAATACCGTAGACCTGTTTTCTGAAAATTGAAATTTCTCCGATAAATCTTCATATGATCGGAGAGAGATGGCTTGTATTTTTTAAGTCAGTGTTAAATATACATATGTGATAAAGCGTACTACCTGAGCTCCTTGCTTCGTATACGACTTTGTTTTAATGTCATGCATAAATATACACCGAGAGAAATTTCCACACAAAAGTTTGGTTAATACGGGAATTAAAACACAAAATTACCCTAGCCTTATATTCGATATACGATTTAAAGAGAAAATGCTGGCTTGTTTCCTTGAAGAAATTCAATCAAAAACGAGTGGTAAATAATAACGATGCAGTTGGAGTAATGCATTTTCTCAGTCTGTCCATTCTTAATTGCCTAAATTGACCGCAAACTGTACCAAAAATCAACACAAAATTTGTGTTGGTTTGTATTTTACTTCCTATATTTACCAAAAGTAACACAATAACACACATATTATTATCAGTGTGCAACATACGACTTATGCATAACACAAGTGCATGCAAACGTAAACACACGTATCAAGTCAGTACATGTATCAAAGTAAACACGATCATCGTTTAGTAAACAACATCGTTTCGTAAACTCAGCAGCAAAATATGTTTTGTTAGTATATATTTTACACGAAGTTTAGCCAAGCTTGAGATCACTTTTTTGGAATAGGCGATACGTTCACATTACGGCCTGATGATACCCCATGAAAGGGATCCGCGTAGAAGGGTGGTGGATGTAGAAAAATCCACTTACCCAGGTTTTTAGGTGATCAAATTAAATGTCTTTCAACACGCTAAAAAGTGAGATGTAATTGTACGAGATGCTTTATATCGGTCGTCTTTGTCTATAATCGGTGTACGTAATCTTCAACTGTAGCCATTGATAGTTTTAGCTATTGATAGATTGATATATAATTAACTTTAATCTTAAAATGCTTAAAATAGTAGCAAATCTTATCAAACGTGAATAAGAGCTAGGGGTGAAAAACAGTAACATTTAACAACAAATTCATTGAAATGAAAGTCTTACCCCATGTATTGAAACTCCATTATGACGAGAAGCACAGAGTAACAAATTGATATTGCGGTGTCATCTGATATGAAACTTGAGAAACCGGGAGAGGAGTGGTTCTTTTCTACTAAAATAATATTTGCACCTCAAATTCCAGTAGACAATAATACGCTCTATTTATTTTCAAGGGCACAAAAAAATTGAAGCGAATAACTGTTCTTGACATTAGGAAATAGTACGTCGGATCGGTGGCACGAAATAATTGACCATAAATGAATACATAGAAATGTTGAAATGAACCTCCCACGAGGTGTTTAATTTTTTGTTATATATTCCTCGCAAATATAATTTTTTTCCAATGAGACATGGGTGCTTCGTTGCAATACTCAAGGATGTTACATAAAAATGGAATTTTCCGAACCATTGCCTTACAGTTGTAGGATTGTGCGATAAAATTTGGATACTTCACATGGGTTTTAACGAGGGAAAGTGTTGTTTTTCAGCACTATCTGGCAACTATGCTTTTCTTCTATGCCTGCAAAAATCTACCTCTGTAATTCGATGCGTGCTCATAACTGAGCGTTTGGATTTTAAAGAGAAGTGCTTGATGAAATTCTTAAGTGAAAAAAAAAGAATCGCAAGCCATGTTTTGTGGTTATGTAAGACATTTTTTTACTGGTTGGACACAATAATGAAATCTGAAAACGCATTGAATTAGAACTTTTCGCACTGTATAATGCATTTTTAGACAATTCAAAGTCTAACTGGCAGCTTTAAACATTTTGTTCTGTCACATATGCTGTCAATCAAACGCAGCGTGCCGAGGCTCGTGATTTAAATGCTCATTTAATGCATTTTTGTGAGTAGGTAAGCCGATTACCGCATGTATTTCATACAGATAATTACATTCACACAATTTCGGTTTTAAACAGAGGCAGTGTTTAAGATCAAGTATTTTGCGGTTACATCAATTAAAAAAAGCATATGAAAATTGGCATTACGTGTTTTCTCAAGGTGCACATGTTCGGTAAATGTTACGTTACCTACGTAATCTTGCCTTATTTAATTTTTTAAATGTTGGATACCTACACGATTCACTTTGTGATAGATGATGTTTCTAATTTTCATAATTTCTATTCAGAGTTATTTCAGGATAACAGATATAGTTAAGATTTACAACATATTTTTACATACCACTTATAATAATGAAAAGTAGAATCGAAACCTTTGTCAAGTGACTACATTTTCAGGCAAAGTTCCTTGTGGGCGCGAATACCGAAAAAGCTCGAAAAACACTAAAAATATTCGCAAAATGTGATTCCACTTTCCACGTCACAGGTATTCTAAATAGAAAATTTTGTTTTTATAAAACCATTATTATTATTATTATTTACGAAATAATGAGAAATGCCTAAATATGTTGCCACTACTTCAAAGAAAGGTTAATTTTTCGACCGGAAATTTTGAACTCGCGCAATCATACTATATGGCATGTTTCGCACTCGCAAAAGACTTGATAATCCGGATCTCTACTTGCTTACACCTGTGTCTAAACGTTTCTCCATAAATTTATTCATCGGTCGGAAGAAAATTGACGTACCTAATTTTGCACGTAGTGTCACTGCCCTTGAACAGAGCACTCGAATATGTTCGAAAGCGGTCTCTGTTTTCCAGTGTCTCAGCAATGCATTTTCTCATTTTTGTTCTGTTACGATCTCTACCTCCTTCTTTTTCAGTTAGAATAAATGAATGTATCTGAGCTAATTAACGAGTGACGTTTACAACAGGTGTTCTACAGGGAAAGTGATCGCACGACTTGCCAGTGTCCCGGTCCCCCAATGTCCGGAGAAATAGAGGGATCACACGGCGGGTCCCGCGCCCCATCCACCCTTTGGAAGATCGATTATCCCGTTCGTCCCGTCGGGAGATGCGCAATTTTGCGTTATTTCAATTAAAAAAATCTTCTTTCTCAATTAAAAAAATTGGGAAAATGAGTGAACAAAGAACAGGAAAATTTCCACAATCCTTCGATCCCAGAATTTCAGGCTCGTGGTGTGAACACCATTAGGCGACGAGGATATCGATCTCTAGACGTCGAGCTTGAAGGATCAAAATCCTTAGCTTAAATTGGACGTATTTCTATCAAACGGAACTATGTGCATTATTACGTGAACCCTGTTATGCATACATTCTTATAGGTCTCAGGGCTCATGTCTTAATAATGCACATAGTTCCGTTTGATAGGAATACGTCCAATTAACTCCTTAACCGTGGTTTTAACGGTTTTTATGAATAACTTTAACCTTTCCGCTCATGGAAGAAAGAATAATTTATTTCGGTTAAATTGCACGCCAAACTTCACTATGATAGTATCGGTAATATGAAAATATGGCAACCTCAACTTTGACGCTCAGCTCAAGCTGTACACTTTTTGAGCAACCCAGTGTGGGAAATAAACAATGCTCGATTGAGTAGTCTGCTAAAGCCGTTGTAGTGCGCAGTTTGACACACATATGGTTTTGTTTTTCTTGGGATTGGGCAATTCAAAGTTCCCGTAACCAATGGACGATAAAAACGTTTACCTCTTGGGGAGAAGTTTATTTCAGTAGTTTTTGTTGCGCGAATCGTGTTCTACGTGAAATTTTGGTGAGGAATCATGTATCAGAGTGCTTAAATTCGTACCCTGTTTAATGGTCCATTCAATATAAAACAGCGAACACACAGAACTTTCCTAACTTTTCTCGTAAAAAAATATTTCATAGGGAGAAACGAGGCAACGTTGGGATGTTCGTAGGGCGTCGAAACACAACATGGACCTTTCAAGCCCCATTTTTCGATGCCACGATCATCCTAACGCGAGTTCAAATAATCGCGCCACACATGGTTCGGTCAGCGAGGCGTCGAACTCATATCAGCGCCTGCAAGACTGCAGGAATACTTCAAGCATTGCGCCAAACAGCGCGGTCGGCGTTAGCGCCTACCTAACTGCATGAATACTTCTCGCATTGCACTAAACGCAATGCGAGAGTTATTTGCGGTAACTAATCAACTACGGAAATCGGAATATTGCCGCTAGCTGGATTGGAAGCGCATCGCACTGTGAAGATGACTCGATACGACACTCGACCGTTCTCCCTTCTCCGGCTTCTGCGACGCTAAAATCGCCGCAAAACTAGGTTCACGCCTAATTTCTTTTGAAGGTCCCTGCCCCTGTTCTTACGCCAATTAAAGGGTAAATATGTATCTTAATTTCAACGATTCTGAAACTTGGACGATGTTTAAATGATGCAGCGATTCTGAAACTTGAATCGAATAAAATTAATTTTTGTTTAAAAAAAGAAAACAGAGCGAGCGAAAGTATCGCGTCGAAATTTTGTGTGCTTATATTTTAAATCATTGCGGAAATTTCGAAACTTCTAAAAAACTGTGGGTAGCTTTTTTGGATAGAAAAATAAAAATAAAAACAAAAACAATAACAAAAAACTTGGGAACCCTTCAGAAAAACAGTGTGTGTAGCTTTTTAAAAACGGTGTTCAAAAACAAGACATAATATTAAGGTATATTTCGCGTGCACCCGTTGGCTTTTTAATCTATTTATCTATGGTATAACGTAAACATGGTTGTACTACGATTTTTTGCGTGTAATTTTTTCCAGTGGTTGGCGGTTGCGTAGCGACCACAGGCCCTTAGTTTGAATTAATCTTGAAAGAGGTTATCCAAAAATAAAGTGCGAGTCCAGTGGTGGAAGGGGGGGGGTCATACTGTACATACTTAAGATGTAATTTGAGAGACTCCATATTTTTAACTATTTTTGCATGGCATCCCCTGGGTCTCTTTTCAGCTCTAAGGGTGTCAACTATAAAGACCCCGACAGCAAGTCACCGAGTGATCCACTCCAAGAGGTGTTATTAAATCACCGCGATGTGTCACTCGTGCTCGAGGAATGCACCGACTGCCGAGCCCACACGCACATTTATTGACAAGTCTGTCAAGCGGGGGTCACCAATTACTCCTGCACGGGATGCGGGTAAACAGTGCGAAGTTTCGGGGCGATGAGGCAAATAAACGGTCGGTGACGCAACAGAGGTGATATGAACACGCTCCCGGTTGAATCACCGATGATCTGGATCGGACCGATTGCCCAAGATCATCCGAGATGACCGCTGATGATGCGTGCTGCAACCGGTGCAGAGCCGCGCCGCGATCAACAGCGTCGTTGACAGTTTGACATTCGTTGACGGACCGTTATTCAACACTGGGAAAAAAAACACATCGGATCTAGAGTCCAGACTCTTGAAAACATTGACAAGAAAAAGGACTCTTGATTCAAGCAGATTTAAGCTTTAATCAAAAGGAAATCTGCTTAAATTAAGAGGCTTGGTTCTTGATTTAAGCTTAAATCTGATTGAATCAAGAGTGTTTTTTCTTGTCGATGTTTTTAAGAGTCTGGACTCTAGATACAATGTGTGTTTTTTTTTTTTTTTTTTTTTTTTTTTTTTTTTTTTGGTGAATAACAGATCTTCTTGTTCCAAAGGACCAATACCTGTCCTGTAAGTGTCCTGTAAGTGCCTCTGGGCCTTGACTCGGTCACGAATTCTAAATATGTGCAGCGAAATTTTTGTGAGGAAAATTTTACCTTTCAATATCATTACTCAAAGACGGCGGGCTCAGTTTTGAATTTTTTCGCTATGATAATGGTAGTAATTTGCTTCCAAGGTCGGGTTTTACCGTGTTCTTTTGCGGAATTTCAAGAATGTATTTAAGATTTTTTTTTAAAAAAAAAAATGGCAAATTTATCAACTTATATACTGTAATGCAACTGGAAGCGTGAAGATTACTTTCCTTCCCTTTAAATGTGTTACTCCTATGATGCATTCGATAACATATTCAAAGTTAAAATATTGGCGACTTTGCGTTTATAGTAAACTCGAAGCAAATGAAATTCATTAAAGAAATGTCAATATAATTATTTCCGACTATGCTTAGGAATAGACGCAGGGAGGCCTGATTTTGAGTACTGAGTACTACCTTAAAGATAAAATTTCAGGACTGAGCCAGAGTCTTTAAGTAATGCTAATGAAAAGTGAAACTTTCAATGTTGAAACGATTTTTGAACACTTTGAGCTTCAAAGTCAAAAGAGTCTCTTATGGGCATTTGTCCCCCATAGTTATAATTCGGTTATTACATTTGGGGCCCTCGTCAAGGTTCAACGCATGGCCTTGTTCAGTAACATTTCTGGGATTTCAAGGAAAACGGATTCCAAAATGAGTAATTTCATATAGTCTCGAGGCTAAAAAATGATCCTACCGTACTCCGAATGATCAATACATCAATTTCGCCGGAACTTTTATCCGTTGAGCTCACGTTATGGGCTGTATACACATTTTAATATACATTTAAGGGAGTAACGGACCCTGGGTGCCCTTAGCTGATCAGGGTTACAAAACATCCCATACCTCGTTGAACATATCGACGATGTAAGTGCGCAACCACGTATCTCTGTTTGCGACGTCACAGACTTCCTGCCATACTTTATTTTTTACATGAAAAACTACCCAACGGAAATTTTTGAAAAACTGCCGTGATTATTCTCCTTAGTGCCAAGAAAATTATGCGAAAACTTCGAGGAATAAAGTCGATTTGTTCTCCATTAAAAAATATACTAGGAGCTGAGATTTTCAAACACCGCAAACGAGATACGTGGTTGCTGCCTTACGCTGTTGATATGCACCGGAAAAAAAAACACATTGGATCTAGAGTTAAGACTCTCAAAAACATCGACAAGAAAAAATACTCTTGATTCAATCGGATTTTTTCTTAAATCAAGAACCTAGCCTCTTAATTTGAGCGGATTTCCTTTCGATTTAAGCTTAAATCTGATTGAATCAAGAGTCCTTTTTCTTGTCAATGTTTTCAAGAGTCTGGACTCTAGATCCAATGTGTTTTTTTTTCCAAGGTGCGACTTTTGGCTAAATTATCTTCAATTTGTAGCCCAGAAATAGGGTAGCAAAAAGCTCCGTTATGACGTTGACTTTGAAACGCTGGAGCAGGATTGGCGCGCGAGTTCCGCGTGGCTGCCGAGAAAGCTGTCCACGGCGCGACACGGAGCTCCAAGCGGAGCGTTTGAGTCGGAGCCTGCAGGAGTGTTTCCTGACGCTCCACATTGGGTCGATCGACTAGCCCATTTTGCTCCAATTTGTCGTCCGACCACCGGACAAATTCCGCAGTCGCTCAGCCTTAGTGGAAGATCCATCCGGAACAGGCGAGGACACGTAGACGAAGAACCAAACAACTTGAAAGTTAGGGTGGCGGTCACTTTGTGCTACTTGGATGTAGATGACTCCAGAGTCCCTTTATACTGAGTTGAGACAATGTAAATCCATTTCCGATTGGTTCCCGTATTTTAGGCCTCCACAGTGTCACAAACGGGAATAAAAATTACATTTTCATCGATTGCAAAGATTATGACGTAGAATGGACCGAGGATTAACGGGTTCGACAAAGAACGAACGGAATGAGAGAAGGAACGGAGAAAGGAATTTGAGAATGAGCCGATCAAAGATTACGAAAAATTGTCAGTTTATGTAATCTTTATTCCTGTTTGTGACTCCATGAGGTGAGTTCTCTTGACTCTCGCAGTATAAAGGGACTCTAGCTGACTCATCCTGCTGTGCTAAGGAAAAACGCCGTATGAACATTCTAGACTTGCCAAATTCCCTTCGATAAATTTTCAGGAACTTTCGTTGAAATTATGAAGAAAATTATCTGAAAAATTGGAGGAAAAATATTTACAAAATTTCTCGAAAATTCGTGATTTACCAAAGGAAATTAGGCAACTCCTGGTAGTCCATACGGCGTTTTTCCTTTAACACGGCAGCATTACTGCCATACACACCTACGACCACAATCAAAAGCCCTACTCGTAAAAAATAGTTGTCAGGAAGTGATATTTATATTTTTGATCTGCAAAATCCGAAAACAACTTCCTTGCATATTCACCCCCGACAGCTAGCTTTTCTCAGTTTCCGCTTGTAAAGATCAATATTTAAAATAGGATATCTTAAACTTTAAATAATTGACGATGATGAAAAATCTAATAGCCGTACTATCAAATGTACATGTTTCAGCAAGGACACTTTCTGAGTTTTCTCATGGGATGTAGGATGTGGGATGGGTGCGAATCAATCGTGGAGCTGTGGCGTTGGATAGACGTTAGATATTAAGAGAAGATGAATGAAACTTTTTGGAGATACGTTCGGCTTTTCTAGGAACTTGATGAAAGCTAGGGAAAGAACCAAAGCATTTCCTCTCACGCTTGGCTTGCGAGTACCTATAATAAGTAGTACTTTATTTTTTCTAAAATGATTGGTCTTTTCTGTAAAGTACGAAGATAGGAGATTGATAAGTGGGATGGTAGTTAAAGTTTGAAACTATTCGTGCTGATTGCTGAGAAGTTTAAAAACATATCGTCATAATCAAGGCATACATATTTTGAATTTTCAATCGTAAAATGTATGTATGATTTTCAATAGACCTCAATCATTCAACATAGCAGTTGGAATCATGATGCTATGGAAATAGCATATATGGCTATGGAAATAGCTTTATGTAGGAGAGAGAGGCCAGGATTAAATGAACTACATTTTGCAATTTGGAACTATAATTTCTGGCTCATCTGTAGAAACACTTATGTGCATAAGGTAGCTAATGGTATGTAAGTTGTTTCTAAACTGAGTCAGAAATTATAGTTCCTAATTGCATAATGTAGTCCAAATGTTTATGAGGAGTGTTCCCCTTTGAAGCTTGTTCCTGTTCTAGAGCCGGTTACTCTTCATTTTAGAGTTTCGTTGGAATATAACTGTAAATTTGGCATGTTTTCGTTTACAGCTTCCCAACATAGGGTGGCATTATATTATTACGTCATTACCTATATATCTTTGGAAAGACAATGCTCTCATTGATATCATACATGACCTACATATTTTTCCTTAATTTAAATTAGGTACAGCAATGCATTACAAAAGAGTAACAATATAATTATTTTGGATGAATGAGACGACTTCAAAATAAAATGTATTGTCATACATGTTTAATCACTGTCCTTTTTACGACAATTTTTTACTAGTATTTGGTAACTGTTACTGCCAGAAAAAAGTTATAACTATATTATTGATGACTTCTGACAACAATTTGGTATAACAGCTTTTGTATGCTTAGCGGAAATGAGAATAGCGCAATTGATACTGATAAATATTTGTCATTTATTTTAATCAAATGTTCGTGTCTTGTGGAAGTTTTTTGAGATACGGTAAGGCGAGAAAAACTTATGCTTCAATTTGTGATTTTGTAAATGAATATGTTACATTTTTATTATTCGTACTCCCAATGTTTATTTTTTATGAAGATGCTTCTTTTAAATTCAATGGAATTTTTTTTCTTTTATCTTTTTCTAATTTTATTGACCAGTCTCATTTTTGTATGTTCCTTTCTTCTTTCGGTAAAATTTTAAAATGCAATTTTTCGATGTTCCTTTGAACATTTGGACTTGAAATTTTTTTGAAGTTTGGACTTCAAAGATTCGCTTTTTAACGCCGCTGATAAAATTAAACAGATTTTATTCAAAACTCTAGCCTGTTTACATCTAATCTACCTTTTAAAATATAAATCTTTTCAGGAACTGACGTTTGTCAAGTAGTTTGATTGAAAATTCATTTCGTGGTTTCAGGTAAGTTGTAAGGCAATTGAATCACACAGAATATCTCGTTACTATGTTGTCACTCCAAAAAGTAATGCAGTCAAACCTCACTAGTAACTTTACACCCATTCCACTCCATGGCAAGCTTGGCATGAACGATTTTCTTTTGTGACATAATTTGAATCGATTCTTACAGCATTTCAAACGGATTCTCCACTACATTTTGGAGAAGAAAAAAATTGATTTTTTAGTTTTTTTTATCATGTTAGTACTTTTAACATAGGAGATAAATTCATTATTGACTGATAGAATTCATCTTTTACCTATAAAATGATGGTAAGCTGAGGAAAATAAGGAAAGGACTTCTTAATTTTTGAGAAGTTTATTCTTCAAAACTTACAATCTAATTAAGTAAAAAAGAACAAAACACATTTAACATTAACATAAAAACAAACTTGTGGTTAGAAAATCGCTCCAACCGTTGATCAGCGATAGACACGCTTGGTAACTGAACGGTAACTTTAATTCACGTTGAACACAGATATCTCGTATTCGATATTAGCGAAAGAGGTTAGGGCGAGGTATCTTAACCTAATGACTATCATAAGAAATGCAGCGTTATTCGAATACTGCTGAGAGGACGAATTCATAGCTTTTAAGTAAGCTTGCAGTCTTTTTATAATACGTATAATTTAAGTAAAGGTTTCCTTGTCGTAATTACGTGAAAAAATATCCTCAAAGACAACCTAAGACTATTTTATAGAGGATCAGAAAATTAATGGCTGATTCGCAAAGGTTTCCTCGCTGTAAGATCACGTGATAACTACAGAAGTATTGATTTAAGGTCCAAAGTAGTTGGATAACTATGAGGTTTAAGACCATCCTGTATCCCACTATTTACGTTGGGTTATAAACGGAAGTATACCTGAAAAATGTCTTTTTTCGTATAATTCCATTTTACAGTTTCAATTATATCACCATTTTGCATTCCGTTTTGAATAGCAATTTTAAAAATTCAAGGACAGCGGAATTAATCAATGTTAATTTAGAATTTTCACATTTTCTTCTGAATCTATAAACTGCTCCGCCTCGACTGCGCAGCTAAACCAGTGCGCGGGAAAATTCTTCAAGCGTCAATAAAAAAAAACAAAGCTTGAAGAACTTTCCCGCTCCTAGCACTTAATTTCTCAGAATTTGAACATAATATTTGGCACAGAGAGCGCAATTTCACGCGCATCTATCCCCGACTTAACGGTGGTAGCCGTGGATACCGTAGGGTGTTCCCAGCTTGTAGCTTGAGTAGCCGGCGTAAGGAGCCGAGTACTTGAGACCAGAGTATCCACCAATCAAAGGCGACGCGAGTTTGTAGCCAGCGTAGCTACCGTAGGCGTGAGCTCCACCCAACAGAGATGTCGCCGCATGGTAGGGTGCAACGGCAGCGTAAGATTTGTATCCTCCTAGAGCGTAGCCTCCGTGACCGTATCCTCCGTAGCCAGCATAGCCAGCGTAGCCGCCGTATTTATATCCTAGCCCGGAGTAACCGAGCAAAGCTGAGTGACCCACGGCTCCGTAGCCGAGTCCGTAACCTGCTCCGTAACCTCCGTATCCACCGTAGCTACCGTAAACGGCTGGGGCTACGGCTGCAACGGCAGGTGCTACTGCAGGAGCTACCGCTGGTGCGGAAGCGACAACGGTGGGGACGGAAACAGGGTAAGGTGCAGGGACGGAGACAGGGTACGGCTTAGGGATGGTGACTGGGACGGGTTGCGGGACAGGGACACCGACTGGTCTTGGCACGGAGACGGGGTAGGGTTGGGGCACGGAAACTGGGACGGCGCGGGGTACGTCAACTGGGTACGGACGGGGGACAGTCACTGGGTATGGTGCAGGGACGGAGACGGGAACAGGGACGGGTTTGGACACAGGCACGGCTTGTGGCACAGGCACAGGGACGGGTTTGGTGACGGTGACAGGGTAGGGCTGTGCGACCGGGTAGGGGACAGCCTGGTGGACTTCGCTGTAGGTGTGGGGGATGGCAGCGGGTGCAACGGGGGCAGCAGCGACGGCGGGGGCGGCGGCGATGGCAGGGGCGGCAGCGATGGCTGGGGCGGCGATGGCGGCGGCTCCGAGTCCGTAGGCGGAGGCTCCTAGGGCTGGCGCTGCGACGGCGGCTCCGTAGGCGGGTGCGGCAAGGGCAGCAGCTGCGTAGGCGGGTGCAGCAAGGGCAGCGGCTCCGTAGCCGTAGCCAACGGCAGCCTTGGCGTAGAGGGATGCGCCGAGAGCATGGCCGGCACCTACCTCATACCCGTGCGGGATCCCGTATCCGTAGGCGGGGGCGGCAAGGTCGCCGTGCACGTAGTCCCCGATGGAGCTTCGCTTGGAGGGCTTGGTTTCTTTTTCCGCGGCTAGCGCCGGTGCGGATAGCGCGAGGGCTACGAGACACAGCTGTAACAACAGAATAAATCAAAGGTTAGTGAAGCTTTGGTAAAGGCCTCGATACACGGTGAAATTCTGAATAAATTCTGATCAAAGTAGACCAGTTGATAACTGATGGTCACCATGCAACCGTCCTCCTTGATGGAAGTTGGACGGACCGTCAAATTTTGATCAGAATGTAGTGTACCATTCATCATTTCCTGCCGCTCGAAACATTTCTGCCCTGTTTTTATTTTAAAATTAAGCAAGGTAACGATTTTAAGACTGGTGAATACTGACACATTGATGGTAATTGGTTCGAGGATTTGAGCGCGTATCGAGACCTTAAAGTGTGGAGATAAAGCTATTTCACAGTTTATATAAATGAACCAGTCCACTGATCGATAAGGAAAGGAAGAGAAAAATGAAGCTTCGGAGTACCCCCTCAAAATTAGGTAATGTAAAATGTAACTAAGATAAAAAGGAAAACGCATAAATCCCCTCCGCTTGAAACAATTCTCTATACCATTTCAAAAAAAGTATTACTTCTCCAGGTAAAGAAATTATCAAGTTTAATTTTCGCTAAAAGTGTGATCCACAGTCCTCACCAATTAAATTACTATATTCTTCCTAACACCACAGAAAAAAAGGAAATAAAAAATCATAATAAAATTCTATTTGTTTGTTAATTTAAATGGACGCGGAAAGGCTCTAGTTTGTTTCTCACAACGGAAAGAAAGGTAACATTTTTTCGAAGTTCACCAAAAGTTCTTTCAAACAAAATTAATCCCAAAAAGGAGAAGTGGGTCGTGTAACACCCCCTTAGCTCTTTCCTTTGTATCGGTACCGATTGTGTCAAAACTTTTTTCGAGTTTACTTTGTTTCAACCATTTTCCAAAAACTAATCCGGACTCTACTCTAACTTGTCGATTCCATAATCGGAAGCCATTAAAATAGGTAGATCGAGTCGCGGGGTTTCCAGCACGCGACAGAAGCACGTGTCACGTCATATCAATACTGCATTTCGCGGACGTGTTTTATTACTGCAATTAGCCAAAACTGGGTCTTGCACTTAGCGCGAACGTGTACATTGATTCAACGGTCTTTAAAGTACGTTCGGTTGGTGATAAACCAATCGGACCGAAGAGATTTGCGAGCTAATTAAAGACATAATGAGTGAGCAGCTGATCGCTGGGAAAAAAGGAGACGTGGTTTCCCACGAACAGACGGATGGACGCGCCTGAATGAGGCAACCAACCTTCAGAGGGAAGAATGCCCAAAATTGAAGAAAAGTCTAAATAAGGCTAATTGATTTTAGTAGCTCACGTGTTCTCTTCCTCTTAATGGGACCTGTTATGCAGTGCACTGGGAAAAAAACACATTGGCTCTAGAGTCCAGACTCTTGAAAACATTGACAAGAAAAAGGACTCTTGATTCAAGCAGATTTAAGCTTTAATCAAAAGGAAATCTGCTTAAATTAAGAGGCTTGGTTCTTGATTTAAGCTTAAATCTGATTGAATCAAGAGTGTTTTTTCTTGTCGATGTTTTTAAGAGTCTGGACTCTAGATCCAATGTGGTTTTGTTTCCAGTGTGTGTAAAGATGGATGAATTGTTATAGAGTCGACCATTTCATGACGTACGTATGAATTCGTATCAAATTCCGATCGAATCGAGCAGTTAATTGATTTTGTATGTGAATCTACTAATTTCAAGAGGAATTTTTCATTTTTTTTTCTTTTTTCGTTTATATATCTGAAATGTAGTGACCATAAAAAATTACAGTCGTTGAAAGTAAGTTTCGCAGAGGATAGCCCTAAAATTCATTTAATTATCATAAAATTACTTCATCACATCGTCGTATTAAGTATTAAATCTTTATTTTTCCTCTATTATTTTCTAAGCATTTTGTTCCCCGAAAAAATGTGTAGGTTACCATTGCAATTGTTGTGGTCATATTAATTCTAATTATTGAACAGCGGACCAAGGACGCGGTGGCTTCAGAAGCTAACTCTAAAGACGCAGAAAAAAAGAGTAAGTCAGGAGGCAAAGACCAAAATTTCTAATAAGTTATCAAAATTTGGTAGGATTCCTTCGAACTTGCTCAATTTTTCTCAAAATTCCTTATGATGGCTTCAATGTTGCATATTAAATCCAAAAAGTTAAAATGCTTTACTGAGCTAATGGAGTTGTGCCGTGCGCGCTTACTCATACACTCCTTAATTTTACAATAGGATTTAACTTTTGTCGACGTTGCCACCGAGAGAGAAAAAAAATACTGTGACAAACCGTCTACTCATATTTGCGAATAGCTGGGTCGTCGTAGTGCCGAAGGCTTCACTTTTTCTCAACACGTAATCAGTAGGTAACGCGGCGTCATTAGGAGTGCTCCAGTGATTAAATGTTCGACTCAGCTCAGACTAACTCGTCATTTCCGCGCGAAAGTGTATCAGTATCGACGAGTTGAGTTCAGATCGATAGTTTTCAACGTTAGGTCTTAATGCTGTTATCGATTCTACAATCGAATGTACCCCTCGGAACTGGATGATGAGGGACCATGATCGCGCGCATGATCAGCCGCTCTTGGCTATGCCACTTAACGTTAAAGTTACACCGCAGTCGGCCAACAAGTTGCCCCGATCGAGAATAGTACGTCACCTGGCCGGCAAAAGGGCGTAACTGCATTTAAAGATGAGCCCGAGGAGACATTGCGTTATATGGATGACAGGTATCATCGCGAATTGTAGTTACGGCCTTATGTCAGGAGAACGACGAGTCGACGGTGGCACGGAGTGTATAGTCTTCCGTTTTCAAAGAAAAAGGAGTGCTAATCGCTGCAATGGTACAATGTTATGTAAGCGCCAGTCTGTGAAGTAATAGGTCGAAATAGTCGAGAATCTCACTCTACTCTAATCGAGAAAGGTCGCGAATCAGTCGGAATTCTACCTTCTACACTTTAATTGCGACCTAAACGAGACGAAAATGTTCAGTGTCAAATATCTGCACAAGGGAAAAAATTATTCAAATTACCACATTATTGTAGTTCTATATCAACTAGTGATAAATGGACGGAGTTAAACAGAAAGGAACCAAGCCACATCGGGATCGAACCGAGAAAAAGAGGTTTAAAGTTTGGCTCCTGCATAAGACTCAATGTAAAAGATAAACTTCAAGTTCAATTTCTGCAAAATTTGCTCCAACAAAAACTTTCAATCTTTGGAGACAGATAGTAGAGCAGTGGTTGAGTTCAAAACCACTCATAACTCGATTTTTTCCAAAATGTGGGTTGGTTCCTTTCTGCTTAACTCAGTCCAAATAGTAGCTACAGTCGAAAATAGTGGTATTATATCATCAGCTAAGGCCACTGCGTTGGTAATTTTACCATTAGGTGCGTCAATAAAGTTGGCAACTGGTGGTAAAAATATCAATTTTATTTGTGATAACTACTGTTTATTAAGAGTTCATATGGATTGAATTTTGCAATACGGAACTACAGTGTCTGGCTTATCGGTAAAAACACTTAGGTGCTTAGGCAAACTGATGGTGCATACGTTGTTACTAAACTGAGGCAGAAATTGTAGTTCCTAAATTCGAAAAGCCTTTTTGTATTTTTATCGTGGTTTCCTTTCAATATGGCATGATTAAGATTTTTTAAAATCGTTAATCATAAAGTGGGCTATCCTCGAATAATTTGTTTCGTTCCGTCTCAGTTGCAATGTCACATTAATTTTGCATGTTGCCGGTCAATTAACGATGCCTTAGTCACATCAAAAGTTACTCGAACTACGAAAGAAGGCGTTTCTTTGTTCACGAGATTTTTTATAAATTTAAGTATCAGGTCTCCTCGCCTGATGAACGTTTCTCACAAGTCATAGGATGTGGCATCACAAAATTCCCAGTTCACACCATGATCTTTTTATTCGATTATAGAGATCTAAAATCGAAAAACTACAAACTTATACTTTTATGGTTATAGTTTGTTGACTCGCGCGTCCATTAATAATATTTGTCACAAAAATCTTGAGCTCCGTTCCGTTTTAAAAATGAAGTAAAATTTTAAAAATTTTTAAAAAACTCACTAGTCAGCAAAATTACCGTCCGACGCGCGTTTCGACCCCTTGGATCATCATCAGGGCGCGACATCCGTTCCGTTTTGTTCGAAATGGAATGTTTACATCAACTCTAGGACCGGTTACTCTTTCAGACTATATACATTGTTGTATGACGAGAGCATTTCGTAATTTAACTTCTTATAATATTCTACACATTTCCTTGATACCTCCAAGAAATCGCAGAAGAATCTGACAAGCCCTGTCATATCACTTGATCTACTTCCTAAATAATTTGCAAATCATTATTCAACTCATTTTAAAATTAGCGTTTTTGATTCCTGAATAAAAGTAGATCCGCGAAAAATATTTCATCCAAATTATAAAAAGGCTCGAGAAACTTTCTAAACAGCTGTTGGTCAAATATTTTATTTCATCAGCTTTCTAAGACCCCAATTTTTCATTCTTTGTCATGGTTCATTCTCGAGATTTGCTGAGGCAATTTTCAAACTTTTTGTGGCCAACATGGGATAAAAACTTTTAGATGAGCCCATTTTCTTTAAAAATTTGAAATATGACCCACAAAGCTACCTATTGAAGGAGTTTAAGCGTTTTATAAGTAAGGTGGGTCGGAGGTGAACTCCTGAGGCTCTGTAAGTACAACAAACAAACCATTTTCAATCTATCAAATGCAAGGGTTATGAGATTAGCCGGGCGCATTTTGATCCTACTAAAAATCTATCTGGACAGAAGAAACTCGATTATACCTGCTAAATCAATCATATCTCGGCTTTATTTAAGCCTAATTTCATGTAAATAAGAGGAACAAGATGGAAATAAAGGGATCAATAAGCGTACATCTCACCGCCGCCATTTTCCGCATCTTGACACGCGGCAATTGCAACGAAAGCAATGACGAAACCCATGTAAATTCGATTAAGCCCCCTTCTTTTAAGCGTTTTTGGCACATATTGTGAGGAAAATGAGTAAACGGCCCCCTAAAAATTTGACGTAAAACTTATGAGAGAGGGAAAGACACCGTGATCGGAAAAAATATTAAGAAGTTCACATTGAGGGGAGGGGGAAAAAACTTCGGAAAGTGCAAGCCCTAAGGCGCGAGTAAGTCTAGTCTAACGCTTATTTGTTAAATCTAGCCCACGATGCAAGATCAGCCTCCTGAGCACTAAAAAATCAGGCCGTGCAACAATTCGTAAAAATTGAGCCTTAAAATGGACCCGTAGAGCACTTTATTCAGCGTGCACCCATAAAGAATGAAATATGGACGCACGGTGAAAAAGGCAAGATAATTTCAACTATTTTCCTGGCTGATTTCAGCAACAATCGAAAGTTTGGCTTGAGTCAGCCAGTCAACTAATTTTTGGTCGACTTAACCATACCTTTGACTGGCAACCACTCTTCTGACTGGTGCCAAAATCAGCCGGAATACAACAGAAATTAGCATACTTTTTTCGTACGGCTGACCATTAATAAGGTTTATACGCATATCTATGGCCAAAGTGCGAAACCACGAATCTCCGTTTGCCATGATGCAGACTTTCTGTCACACTTTATTTTTTCATTTGAATAAAAGTCAACTTAATTTTTTGAAAACTGGCTTGATTTATCCCTCTATTAGCAGACTATTCTAAGTAAATTTCAAGCTATGGTGTTGGCTTGATTCTCTCCGAAAAAATAAAACGGGAGCGGAAATTTTGAAAAGTTCGAAAAGTTAATGAGTCTTAAGTATTCTTTCGGTAATTCAAATAGAACAGTACACACAGAGTAAATGAGCCAGCTGCGCTGGTCGCAGAATCGTGTTTTGATGTTTGATTCTTGTGGATCAGCGAAAAGCAATAATATCTACCCTAACAGCAACTCTCAATGTTCAATATTAACCGAGATATCGCGCTTTTAAAAATTCGTTTAATGACGTCATACACCGCAGTACTGACACCCTTGGTTCCTTCCACCTAGCTTTCATCTGTCAGGGACACACACATTTTCACTACTTACTCAACGTGAAACTCGGATGAAAGCAAGGTGGAAGAAACCAAGGGTGTCACTCCCGCGGTGGATGACGTCATACACCGAATTTTTCAAAGCGCGATATTTCGGTTAGTAATGCACGTAGACAATTGCTGTTTGGACAGATTTTATACAATTTATCTGATCTACAAAAATTAAACATCAAAACACGATTCTAAACACGCACTGACCCATTAAACCATTGTTTTACGAACAGGGTAGGCGAACAGTAGTTGAAAAAGGACCACAGCGTGTTCGAACAAATATAAATAAAATGTTCTCGTTTGAACCGTCATTCCTTGCACTGAGGGGCAGTGAGGGGCTGATTATTTCAAATGGAATTTATAGTTCGGTAACCACGGAGGGCCTTGACAAAAAAGAAACTCAAAATTTTCAAATGGCAGCTCATCTTTTCTGATTTATCGTCAAAGAGAGCTCAAAAAGAGGAAACTTTTCTCGCAAACTACGAGTCAGTACCGTTTAAGACTAACGTTTTTACGATTCATATTTGTAGAATATAACACCCGACCTTTCAAGGTAAGCACTAGTTCCCACGGGAAGTATATGTCAAATCAGTAACGCACATGGCTTTCAATCACACGCGGCTCACGGACCGATTTTAATAACAACAAAAACTTTAAGAGCACTGCTTAAAACATTCAGGCACACTCGAAACATGGATGGTTACAACAACGATACCTAAAGATCATAATGTAAGATGCTTGAGGGCTTCACGTCTACATCACTTTCACAAACAGCTCCTTAAATCAGCAAAGCTATAGTGCAGCTTTCAAGTTTACACGAACTTTTACAGGATTAACATTTTGAGATTTTGTTTACGTTAAGAGGAAAATTGTAAACACTACGATTAATATGTGTCCTATGGTGAAATTTGGCGAGAAAACACTTATAACCCACCCCAGAAATTTGTATTAAGCCTCAAGATTGTCCATTCGATACATCGAATATTCTATCACTAAACAATCTATTAAGCCAAGGTAGGATGCATGCTTGTAAGTATCGGCTAAGTACGTACCGAGATTGCTCTGATCATGATGTAGATGTGTCTGGTGAGTAAATGAGCGACAAACTCATATGTTTTTATATATTGAGCGCATCGGGTTGTCCCCCATCTAGTGTCCCCGTGCTTTCACCCCGCGCGGGGCACTCTCGTCTACGACCGTTGTCAGATCGCTGTAAATTCTGAATAGTTCATGAAAAAAACCTAAGCTATTCCTGGATTCTTTGCAACAACTGACAACCTCACTAGGCACCTTATACGCACATGTGCAAGATGCAGCGATTTTTTTTTTTTTTTAGATTCGGCAATGCGTGAAAAGTTGGTGATTATTAAGTCTCCAAAAGCAGACATCTTTTACCATTTTGATTTCCTGTTCTAAAATATTTACAGGATACGAAAAGCTCATGAAATATCTGCGCAAAGTTTCCCTCAAAAGAAAAACTTGCAAACTCAAGATAAATGAGCTAAACCCTTGTTCTGTTCAACAGAGAAGACTCCCCTGCCAAATATTGCAAGCACGCGAGGGCTACCGTCCTTTTTTTGGCTAAAAAGTCAATGTCTGCCGAGTTTTTTTTTTTTTTTTTAATTCATCGATACTATAATTATATCGCCTGTCAGTTTGATCACATCAAAAACCCGGACGAATCACCTTAAGAGACGCTAACAGCTTTTTGAACTGTATTGGAGCATTTTAAGTAAATGTTTAAAGAGACACAGATTTCCCACGCGTCAGTATGCAGTGACTTTAATATGCATGCAGCAATAATTCCAGATTTTTCTCTTCTTAGAAACCTACTTCTGTCCGATAGAATAAACAAAAAACAAAAATTGCGATGATGTTTTTTGTGGAGGTACTCATAAAAATATTTACGGAAAATTATGCATTGAGCTTAACTGGCAAGTATGGCGTTTGTGGTGCCTCATTTGGCAACAAAATTGTATATACGGAGTGGGTGGATCTTGATTCACAATGCAATTTCACCCATTTAATCTAAAGAAATATTTAAATTGCAACTGCTGATAAAGGCTGTCATTTAGAGAATATGTTTCAAAATGATCGCTTGCAGGAAAGAAGGAGAGATACATATATTTGAAATCAATAAACTCATTAAATGAAAAAAAACCTTTAAAAAATTGTGCTGATGCAAGATAATGAAGGCACTTCTCTTCAGTTTTCAACCAAACAGTTCAGTGCGTAAATTTGTTCAAAATTGTATCCGTATAAAGTAATGAGTATCAAAAAAAAAAAAAAAAAAAAAAAAAAAAAAAAAAAAAAAGAAGTTATCTCCCATTGTATAATCTCGCATGGCTCTTTTTTGCTAAAAGAAAGCTGAGCAACATTTTTTTCTCGGAATGTTTAAGGTGTTTTTCAAAGTTTCTCTTTAAAAGATTAAAAAATCATTGGAAATTGTTCATGTTCAAATAGAGAATAGTAATTTTTAACAATGACCTCCGGTACATCTAGATTTAACGCATAAGAAACTGTGCCTGAAAACACTATTATTCTTCTCACTAATTGTTAGTTGCTGTTTCCGCGCTATCAAGCTAAAAAGACACACCCCAAAGTCCAATGCTACCATGCTGAGGAAGATTGCCATGTGAGCATCCAGCCTTTGCCAAATGTCTTTTGACAAATCACGAATTTCAGAGTTTATTCATAAATCTTTTTCTTCCAATTTTATCAGAGGATTTTTTCATAATCGGATCCAAAATGTTCGAAAATTTCACGGAAAAAATTCACAACTTTCTTCCAAAATGAATTTTTCCTGAGAGAAAATTTGGCGACATTCGAATGCTCATGCGGCGTTTATCCTTAGCTCGGCAGAATGAGGATCATGTTTTCAAATTAGAATCTGAAAACTCTACATTGTTGGCTGCAGGTGCTTAGACACAAAGCCATAAAACAACAGAAAAAAAAAAAAAAAAAAAAAAAAAACTCTACATTGTTATTTTGTATAAGGACACGGCAGTAGGTTACCTGCTGATTGCCGCAACATGTGGCAACGGAACCTCAGTGACATACCGAAATGTCTCGTAGCCGACGGTAAAATTGCGGATCGAACTATTAATCATCGATCAGGATTTTTATGGAATCCAGTTTTTTTCTGTATTAATTAACTCCTCAAACACTGAAATGTGAAGATGTTTCCACTGTTCATCGACCCAGATTGTTCAGTATGCGGTAGTTCGTAACCTGTGAACTTTGTGCGTCAGCTGTTGTCAACTATGCATGGGGACTTAGAGTAGCATTTTGATATTGGTGACATTTTAGTTTGACTGGTCGTTGCCCAAGAAAAAAATATTTCCTGTTTGAGAATTTTCTGTCAATTTGTAATCTGTCGAGTCTTAAGTAGCAGTTACTCATTTAGGGATGCCACAGGACAAATTTCATCGGAACATTTAGACTCAAAAGTATGACAACAATTCGATAACAGTCGTCACGCTTAACTCATCAAATAAACCGAAATACATCATTTAAATGGCTGCTGATGACGTGCCTAATGGCGGATACCGGCAGTCACCCAAAGTGTGAATTTAGTTTATAGTTATATTCAGTGTATAATTTACCTCTTTTCATTCTTACTTTTCCTTTTGTTCTCTCTCTCGATGTGATATAATTTTATCTCATCTGTAAACCTTTTAGTGGCAAATAAACAATTAAAAAAAAATTATTTAAATGGATTTCCTATTTTTAACTCTTATCGACACATATATTTTGATTCCAAAGGCCCGAATCTTAAAAAAGAGAGCAGAGAAAAAGGTGCCATAACTTTATTGACAGTGCGAGCACGTTTTTAATTGACGCAAAGGCTGATGGCATTGATTATAAGATCCCCATCTGTAAAGGCCTTTAAACCGCATCATAGATCAACCGACAACGATGTGACTTTTCTCTAGGTCTTTATATTTTCGTAATTGATTTAGGGTAGTTGCCAAAGTGCTTCAAAAACTGATTCAGCACGTTTACATTGTTGTCAGTTAAAAGAAAGCTGCAGCCAAAATAAAATGCCGGGAATTTCTACTGATTTAAAACATACACAATTTTCATTTAGCATGGGATAGTGTAATTGATGCCAATCAGCTTAATATATTGGACTATGTTACTGATAGAGGATACGGTTCATTCTTCCATATTTGTGCGGCTTTCCAATAAGTAAAAAAGACCTAAAGAAATAAAATAATCCCATCTTAACTTACTTTTTGGTGTAGTTTCTTTTCTGATAGGAACCTTTAAAAAAGTATACATTATCAGATAGAACAAAACTAGGTTCATTAAACGAAGACAAATTAGCATTAGAAATATCTCCCTTCTCCCATCCATGGTTGGTAGATTTGCTATTGATGGTTGAATTGAAAGTTTGAAATTTTCTTCAATAATCAAATTTTAACCAGTCTCAGAAAAAGCCTAGCGCACGTACGACGCAAAATCAGCACACAGATTTTAATAAATTTACTGTAGAACAATAACTCTCGACAATTTTGTAAAAATATCAACAATTTCTTGGCTATTTGTACGATAAAGCTTATCTGTTAGGCGGAAAAATTTGGGTTACATTTTACAAATTTCAAACTCACAACTACCCATGTATTTATTATTTTAATGTAAATATTGTAATTTCGGAAAAGAAGACCAATAAAACCTTGAAATTTAGAAGGAAAAAAAAATCCATGTATCAACTCTTGCTTACTCTAAATTTGCGTTGAATTCCTGTTAGCAAATTTAATTAATCAATATAAAATTTATGAACAAATATGGCAGCTTTGTGAGTACATAACCCTGTTTATCCAAAATTGATCATCCGGTGCAATTAAAATTGCCACTGAGAAGCCGGCCGGCCGGCGCGGCGCGTCGTCCGCCGAGCTTCCCTCCGTCCAAACGTCCAGCATCAACCGAATGATTGACGTATGCTCCATTTTTGATGTGCCTGTACATGTCGTGGAACAACCCAATGCCCACAAATCAGACTCAGCTAATAAGCGCTTCCTGCTGCAGGTGTTTAAGAGGATATAGTCATGAAATCGCTACGCTGGTCCCACTGAACAAGATATCCATGGCTGGAGTCAAAAACGCGTCTCTCCATTATTGCGGCGTTTCAAAATCTCCGATAATACATATTTTTTGTAAAAAATCTGACTATAAAACATATTTTTAAAAAAAAATAATATTTTTAATTGGAGGGGAGGGAATCCATAAATTAGATGTCGGTTTTTTTTTTATAAAACGAAACTCAATTGCATATTCACAATGCCGCAATCAAAGATGCGCGTTTTTCGACTTTATCTATTAATACCGACTATATTTTAGGTTCAGTAGGGGATGAATTTGAAGGTTTCACAATAAATAAAAAAAACATAACCCCGCATTATATTGAACTGCTATAGGTTTAACTTTGACCCCCTCAAAGTTTAGTATTGTGAGATTACAAGACATTACTTCCATTTGTGTCTAATTTCCACATCAATGCCCACATTTGGGTTCAGGTTTAGGGTCCACTGTTGTCAGCGTGTGATACCATTTTTCGTGGTTTTAACACATTTTTAGCTTATAGCCTTATTGTGAAAATGTCTAGATCAAACATATGTACAATACATTGTGTCTTGATGCTTTATTTTTGACCCAAACATATAGTATGATGACTTTTACTGGAACTTTTGTCCAGAGATCGGGATGGGCAATTGAATACGCAAACCGGCTAATTGTAAGCTCTTCATTATACTGTCATAACTGAACAATGTAGCTCACGCAAAAGTTACCGACCGCTATCATAGTCAAGTCGTGTAAAAACAGCGCTTATTTTAATAGATCGATTTATTTGCTTTATACACATGCTTTCTGCACAGGTTTCAGAAGAGTTTTTAAGTCACTTCAAGATAAGCACAATGAAAATGAGGCAATTTTCATCCCATCGTTCAACCTTTGAAGCTGCTCTCCTAATTTGTTGAACATATTTCAATTATAAAAAAAGAGAAGAAAATTCTGATTTTCGAATAAATTGAGAGTGAATTTTTTGTACGCATACTCTCTCATGCATGATTATCACATTATGTTCAAAAAGAATACACGATCGCACCTTTAAACTATTTCCCACTTCGTCAGAGTTAAA